CACTTGTCAGGAGGTATGTGTGAGGCTGTGAGGCGCGGGGGCAGGATGGGGAAAGCCAGGAGAACCGGGAAAGAAAAGAATGTGACTGATACCCTCCCCCCCTCCTTGAACAGAAAGAATGGGAGGCACAAGTGAGTAATTTTGCTGCACCAGCAAACCGTTCAGCATTGGAACGGTTTATAGTCTTGAGTTCTCCTACTCCTTCGAACCATCTAAAACCCCAGGGAGCAGAATTCATTGATCCCACAAGTAGGTATTGTGAATTCTTTCATTTTTATTCCCGGTCACTCAAAAAAAAACCCGGCCACAAATGACAAAATGCTGTGTGTTTGACATTCCTGACGCACACTTTCCTGCACTGCAGAGCCTTGTAGTCATTTATAACTTTGTTGAGAATAAAATGTTTCTTGCATATTAACAACACATTAATCAGCCAGTCCAAGTACAATCAACAGTGCCCGATCAGCAACAAATCAAACAAGTTAGAGATCTACATGTGAGGCTGAAGACATTTCCATAAATAACAATGAAAATGGATAATTCACACTGCAGACTTTCTGAGAGCCAGTGTTCTTTTAAAAGCCAAACACACCCTTTTTTTTCTTGATGTGTTTCACAGTTGAAGGTCATTGTGGCAGAAGCTGGACAAGCCAATGATCTGACCTTTGAATGGAGTTGCATCTTAAATCTGTTGAAATAAGAATGAGTTTTGAAAAGAATAGGGACAATATGGAGGAAGGTTCGAGTTGAGCGTGGGTGGCTAAAGTAGCATTCATTTGTGTTCAATCCTGCACAGTGCTAATTACTCATGACACCAGTGTCCTTTTAGCACTGGACCACCAAACCAGGTCAATGTTTTATCCCAGAACTGGCCCTTTCAGCACTAGCCCATCAGAGCAGCTGAGAGTTTCATTCTGTAACCTCCACTGTGGGTAGGGAATTTTAAATTGAAAGGACTTTCTTTGCTCTTTTGCGCAAAGCATTTCACAGAGTGTTGTCTGCAAATTTCAATCAGTTGAAGGCACTAGATTATCAAAAGAAAGGAAGCTACGATTAAAATAGCGTAAGAAGATAAAAGTGGTTCACTGCTTATCAGCTCAGAGACAAAAGGCACATGACCCATCTAGACCCACACTCTCTGTGAGGCTATGACTAAAGTCTGGATTTATTAGTGTGTTTGACATTGAAGGATAAGCTTACCTGAGTCCTGGGAATGTGAATATGGATCAAACAGATGGAACGTGCTGAGTATCACGTACGTCACGGGCAATTTGGTCAGATATGTTGCTAACATCAGTGGGAGAGGGAGGGAGGTTTTAAAAATAACGGAAATGTATTGCGTCAATGAATCTTGGCTTGGAAACCTTTATGTGATCGGGGTTGCTTGTTTTATGTGTTAGGCTTTTGGTGTTTTCTGTTTCATGGGATTAGGTACCTGTACAATAAATTGCTAAATATTGTACTTGCAATGGCTTAGCTGCTGGTATTTTGAACATTGGTAAATATTTCAGTGCATTTGTTTTGGCTGGGAAACTTTGGTCCTGGCTAGATGCGACTGTGCAGTTGGCTGTCATTACTGTTTCCCTCCTCGGGTGCCTCATGACTGGCATCCAGGACCAGAAGGCATGTCGGTCGGTGTCACCTAGTATGTAGCAACTCATTGACGTCAGCTAAGCTGCTTCCTGCGGATCTTATAGAGACCTACAGTGAGAGATATCAAAATAGAAAATATTCCCTAAGTGTGCATTAATATCTCTTTGACACTTTCTGATTTTTTTAATTTAAATGTTACTAGACACTGTAGAAGTTTATTTAAATATGTATATATCATATCAAATGTATACATCGATCTTTATTTTCTAACCTATTTCCTCTGTTGCCTGGTGCTATACCAAGAGGACAGTTGTTCCCAGACACCTGCCAAGTCCACTCTATCTCAAGAGTTTCTGCAGTGTGTGTGTGAGAGTGTCCCCAGGTTACTGACTGACCCACTGATATTTGCCAATACCAAGACCATTGGGATGGAGCTTGAGGGCACAGGAGCATAGCCAAGTAAGCCAACATCCTATCGCTCTGTCACAATGTGTTGCAACTCCAGTGCCAGAAACTAAAGCCATATTTTTGGCAGAGGTTGCCAGCGCTCTAAATGCTGGAAATGGAATTTTAATTTCCTCCTCAGTTGTACTACCTTTATTGTTTTACTTCGCCTTCTCGTAAATCTTTTTTTTAGCTTTTAAAAATAACTTCCAACTCAATAGTACAGTAAGAAATCGCATAAGTCTGATCTGTTTAAAGCGTATAATAATAATCCTTGCATTTGATATAGCGCCTTATCACGTCTTCTAGACGTCTCAAAGCGCTTCACAGAATATACTGTAAAGTGAATTGACTGTATAATGACCTAAATCATGCATCTTGCCCAAGTCCCGTTCAAAAAATTATATTCTATGCAAGTTTGAGATAACTCATACTTTGCATAAGTCACATTAAATGTACGGTCCCAAGTGATACGACGTATGTGAGGTTTGCTGTAACACATTTCAGTTGGGTTTTTTTTGCTTCAGTGGCTCTCGTGATCCCAGATGATTGAAATCTTAAGACCATCGTTTTAAATTTAAAATGTGCCATTGTGTGGAAGACCAGGTCTCATCATATAATACATGCAACGTATCAATGACCCAAAGCGAGTGTACCGTGGAGACCCGAGAAGCAGTTAATATTGTGTTGAATGTGCACAATAGTTATCACACAAGTTCAACATGTGGGTTATTTGGCTATTGGGGCTTGGAGGTAATTAATCGGAATCCCGATCCCAACGCCACATGTTTTACACATTCCCTGAGCTGGGTCTTTGTAGCTAGATTAGGATGTCCGCTTCTTTGGGTAAATTTTCACACATGGATGAAAGACCGGGGATGTGTTCTGCAAACAATATTGGTTTTCTTTTAGGAGGACCTCACACACATCTGCGGAAACCTTGGCAAGGAAGATGAAATATTCTGAGTCGCAGTGTTACCCACGTGCTCTGCCTCCCAGCGGAGTTGACCTGTTGGTGTACAGCCTGAAATGAAAAAAATTAGCATCGTCACTCATTGTATCCAAAGCTTATCCGTTGTCACGATAAAATCTTAACCAAAACCTACACCTGGAAAACCGAAGTGAAATGTGCCTCATCCACAGTGGGTGACCCTTGTCGTAGTCGCAATACTAATAAAATACCAGCCCGGAAAGTTGCAAGTACAATACGTCCACCAGGAAGGTGGAAGGCGAACTAGATGGACCTTGGTCTGTTTCGCGTCTGGCATTTTTTATATTCATAGTTTCTTATAAATACTGGAGACATCTGATTGACCCAGGTCATCAAACGCAGGGGGTATTTATCATTTGTGTCACTTGCCATCCTTTATGACTGATTTATGTGGCTGTATATATAGATTTAATATATTCCAGTCCCCAGAATAGTTGTCCTTCCTATCCCTCTTTCATAAATACCAGATTCCGCTTTGGACAAGCTGTGCATCAGATGCCATTCGCTTGTGGTTTTCTTTTCCATTCTAAGTTTTATTCTTTGATCAGTTTTTTTCCTTCATGTAACATTATGCAATTCATTTGCATGATAATCGGAAGAAGGCATTTTAGAAGTGTAAAAAACAGTTGCTAATAGAAAATAAAGCAACATGCAAAGATTGCTTAGTTGGTGAAGTTACTGTAGTGTGCGAAACTGAGCCATGCAGATTGAGAAGGTCTTGCTTTATTTCAATTATTTTGGCTGTGTTGAGTTAGTTGATCTCAGGGTGGCAGTAATAAGCTACAATTGACCTGTTTGTCCCTGAGTTAAAGAAATATCACCCAAGGTTCCTGCTCGTGATAACTTGACAGTAATACTTGCTGTCAAATGCGGGAGCACATTGTGAGGAGAGGATTGGGCTCAGCAAGATAATATTAATAATAATCCTTGCATTTGATATAGCGCCTTATCATGTCTTTCAGACGTCTCAAAGCACTTCACAAAATATACTTTGAAGTGAATTGACTGTGTATTTTGTGGGCGAAAGATGATGTCTTGACATACTTGCACTCCCTGTATTTCCTGTCATCTCAAGAACTTTAGAATATGTCACTGATTGATTTTAGTCTGTTCTCCCTCATCTTGCGATCAATTAAGACTGGGCTTGCTAGGCTGGGCACCTCTCCACCTCTCAAAGCATTCTTTCTCACTTTATGTTCATTTCCAGTATAACAGTATTTCTTTCTGGTGTGTTTTACTTTCTGTGATTGCAATACTTTCAACCATTAGGCTTCTTTACCTTTGTAAAACCGCTGTTAAGGCAGTGTTTTTTCCAACCCGTGTTGTGGAAGGATCAGTGGAATAAAAAAAGATTTATCCTCCGTTTCTTCTGAAAAAAAAACTAGTTAAAAAAAGAGCGTTAATGATTGAAAGAAAACTGGTACTGATATTGCAGACACCCATTTGAATTTGTACTTACCTTTGTGAAATCACCATTACATGCGATCTCAGTTTGATGTCTTATCCAAGAGACGGCACCTCCAACAATGCAGAACACCCCCAGCACTGCACTGAAGTATCAGCTTAGACTATGGTGAATCCAAGTCCCGATGTGGGGGCTTGGAACACAACCTTCTGTCTCAGAGTGCTACCACTGCGCCAGGCTGACACATGTGAAATAATGCCGTGTGTGTTTATTGTAAAGTAAGGCGGCGTGACTTTGTAGAGTTGTTTTATCTCTTTGTAGGGCTGTTGTACTTCTCATAAAATCCTGGCCACTTTCTGGAATGATATACGCACAAAAAATGGGGGGAGAGCGGGGGAGGAGAAGTGAACAGATGTGACTTCTTTAGCTTATTTAACGGTGCATTTTATTTCAATGTTTTTGCTGTTAATTCACTCAATATTGCCGTAAAGATGTTGCTTGTTCAAATCCCTAGATGTTTTGACTCGAAACACTGTCTTAACGACTGTCGTTTGTTTTCTCTTTCAGCTTTGTGGCTGTGGGCTACTGGGAGTGGGAATATGGCTGTCAGCGACACAAGGCAACTTTGCTACATTATCCCCCAGCCTCCCGTCACTATCTGCTGCAAACTTACTGATTGCCATTGGGACAATTATCATGGTGGTTGGATTTCTGGGCTGTCTCGGTGCTATCAAGGAAAACAAGTGCCTCCTTTTGAGTGTAAGTGATTCGGATCGAAATAAATTTCACTCGAGCAGAATAGGAAATTAACTCATTTAAAATCTGCATCAGCGGATCATCAGTTAAATGTGTTTGATGTAGGAATGTTTATTAACCCTATATTTATGTTGGCAGTGGTTTAAGAGTTAATGAATCAAATGCAACACTATTTTTTAAAGAAAGATTGTTCCTCCTCATGTTTTTCAATGTCAGATGCTCATTTCAAAGGTATGTTTATCCCCTGATGAATGTGTGTGCGCGGCTTGTGGGTGGATTCATGTATTTTCCAGCTCTGTTCGCTTTAGCCTGTGCTTTCGTTAGCTGAAGTGGTTCAGGGTAATGATGTATAACTCCACTATTCTCCACCGTATTCTTGCTGATCTGACTTGTGCAACTCCACACCCTAAAATTGATCGGAGACACAATACAAGACATAATCCAACTAAAATGACATCATGTGATACTATATTTTTAAATGGCAGAGAAAACCAGCCCCTTTCTCTCAGTTGAGGATGACAAAGAAAGTTTAACTTGAATGCCTTTTTTGGGGGGGAGGTTGGGGGTCAGGGGTCAGGACTTGAGCTTAAATAAAATTCGCAGAGAACCCATTAAAAGGTGATTCATTGCCAAGTGGTTGATTGGGCCAGAAGGGAAGCAGCTTGAGTCTCGAGACCGCTTGTCCCTATGTTAGCATTGCGCTTGCTGGATGAGTTCTACCTGGTTATTTCTACACCAGTGACGGAGGTCTGTGCGTAAGTGACAGAGGTATTCCACCGTTAATGTGTGACTCGCCTTACATAACTCCTACATCCTGCCAGTCAGTTTCAGCAATAACAGTGATGATGGAGTCAGGAGCCTAAGCTGTCCTGGAGTACAGGTTAGAACAGAATAGAAGGAGAAATTCCAGTAACCAGATTACATTTGTATAGCGTGCAACAGTGTACATTAATTCGCTATCCCTGTGCAGATTAGTTCTGACAAATGAGAAGCTCGTCAGCAAAAGCCATCTCAGTAAAACAGTCCCTCTCGTCTTCCACATATCAGTCGGTCAAGGATTTTAAATAATAGCCTCTGTACTTACAGATTTGTAAATAGCTATTTGTTCTTCACTTGCTTACGCTCCCTATCCAATAAGGATCCTGTCATACCTTATAATAACAATAGTAATGTGTTATGTAGTCAAGTTCATTCATTCTGTAAAGATATAGAAAATATCATCATGTTCCTGGAGTGAAATTACAACTTGTGGAATCCTGTAGCGTATTGGTTAGAGCGTTCACCTCGCAAGCAAGAGGACCTGGGTTTGATTCAGGACAAAATATCAGGCGCGTTCCCTCACTCCACACGCCTCTGTTTGCCCAGCAGTAAATAGGAACCCGGTTGTTAGTTGATTGGTGGATCACTTTTCGGGAGTAATAATCGCTTCAAAATTTTTTTTTCAATTTTTAAAAAAATAATAGTTTGGTCACTCAATCCACGACTGTTTGTGGGACACTGCTGTGCGCAATTGGCCACCACTTTGCAGTATATTTTGTGAAGTGCTTTGAGACGTCTTGAAGACCTGATAAGGCTCTATATCAAATGCAAGAATTATTATTATTATGATAGAATGAGTGAACCTGACTACAAAACACATACAATTCTATCGCAATTTTACGCTAGGAACATTATGTTCTCTTTAGCCACACTTTTTAGCCCAGACAGCGCACGTCAGACTGAGCTTTCAGTATTTTGCCATTTTGGGAAGGTTGTATGTAGTAAGTTGTCAGAATGGCTGCCGCAGGCTTTTGTGAATTCTGCTGGAACTTGTGCATTCAGGCACTTAACTGCCCCATTTGTTTGTAGTAAAGGAGAGAAACTTCTCCCAAGTTCTAATAACGGTTTGCATTTGGCTGAATGGATGCAGTCTCATGTGCACTTCTGCCTGCAAAGAGGCTTTTTATCTAAAAATTGGAACAGCCTCTGACATATTATAAAAAAGAAACTTAATTATCCATGAAGCTATACAACTAAATTCTCCATGTTGGACTCTTTCTAAAAAAAAAGCACTCTTAAGTCAACCATAAAACTGGTCCGAATGGCTCAAGTTATGTAACTTGCATGAGGTTAGGGAAGGGAAACTTAACTTTAAGGCAAGAGTATTTTGATGTTCTCAGCAAGGAGTAAGGAGGTGTAACGTGTCTATGAATGATATAGAATCTGATTTTCTGTAGAGGGATTTTGGGGCCTCTTCCCCTCTCTTCCAACCATTGATTCCCAAGAGACTAGAGTTTATTAGTTAGAAATCAAAAGCAACCTATGTAGGTTTTCCCTTCCAATTCTGATCTATTTTCCACTGGCTCATATTAAGTAGCTTTCTGATGGACATTTTTTCAAGGTATATTGAAATGTGGGCTGATAATGCCAGGAAACAAAGAGAAACTAGCACATTTCCGCAAGCTGATGTCCTGTGAAGCACTAAAGGGTACATTTCTTGCTCAAAAGACGATTTTCTCGTTATTTGTGTTTGAAGCGGTTGGATCTGAATTATTGTTAGTAATTGATGATCAGATAATGTAATTGGGATGTGCAATGCTGTTATACTGCTCCAAGTTTAATGTATGTTAGCTTTCAGATTATTGCAGAAACCTTAATTCATAGCAACAGGGTGATGAGTCTTTTTCTTTTCTGTTTCAGTTTTTCGTTGTTCTGCTGGTTATCTTCCTAATGGAACTAATAGTAGTCATCCTGTTCTTCGTATATAGAGCAGAGGTAAGTTTCTCCAATGTTTGTTCATACATCCTGTCCGTGCAGTCACCTCACTAAAGTAAGTGTGTATTGCTGTTCTCAGGATAAGTTTCATTTGTATACGTATTAACTGGAGCTAAGAGGACTGTCCCAAGAGCAGTTCATAAACCAATAACTCTTTAACTGCTGGGAAATGAGCTATGTCGATAGCCAATTTATTTGACTATTCCACATTTCTGATTTGTTCTTCTTCTATTTTCTCCCGGAGGGATGTCTGTGAGATTTTCCTGCGTGTTTCTAGTTGCAGGTTCAGTACGTTTGCTAGAGCCAGTAAGTGTTGAAGGCAAAGGTCTGATCCAATGTTCAATGAATGGTAATAAAACTATAAAGCACTGTTATTTCATTTATTCAGTGAGAAGTGATTGGTTTGCATTCAAAGAGTATGTCTGCTTTGGTGCCTTTAGCAAATATAAGTGGCCAAACAACCAACTCTCGAAGAAAACAAAATGAGAGTCCAGGTTGTTCCCTGTCTCCACTAACCACTTATAGGAGACAACCCCCACCACCTATCCCCTGGGCACTGTAGCCAGTGTTACACCAAAGCACATTTGTTTGCTGATTAACAGCCTTCTTTATAACTGGCCAGATGGTAGGACAGATTTAATAAATATTAGAAGCTAAGTAGAGGCTTACCTTAAGTTTTACAAATTCACGAGTAATTAACTGTCAGGATCAATATGACACAACAGCATAAATAACATAGTGCATGAATATCATTGCTTCATTTGACTAAGATATCAGTGCTCTATTTAGGTGTCCACTGTCAACCTCTTTAGAAGATGTATTTATTGTTTTAAATACCCACTTCAATGAAGGCAATTATCCCGTTGACATGTTACATACAGGGCAGCCCAAATACTGAATCAATTTGGGTATGAACTCTTTAGCTGGGGAAGTAGGAAAGGCTGTTTGGTAGGAAAGGCTGTTTGTTTGATCTGGGGCAGTTGCTAGAACAACATTATTATTGAAAACATCTGTCTGATATTTGCCGAAAAGTGTTGATGACTTGCGATACGTTTCTTATGTTTAATGTGGTCTAACACAATGGCTTAAATTTAGCCGTTTGCAATGATTTGGGACAATGATTTCCGACATTATCAGCGCTGATGTCTGAGGCAGAAATTGTAGTTAAGGGGTCTAATGGCTTTCTCAGTGGAGTAATGGCTTTCTCTTGAGCTTATGGTTTCTTATGGCTCGGTCTCACTAATCAGCATTCAGATTGAATGTTTGACCTATCTTTATGAACGTGCTAAGAATGAGGGTGACGGGAGAGGGCGAGAGAGGGTTTGGGAAAGCTGCCTGCAGTACATCCAGATAATCGAGACATGATGAATATCTTAAATTTAAACTGCGCTTTAGACCATTTGTCTAATATGATGGCCCATTGGGATTTATCTCCTCGACCATATCTCTTTTTCTATCAATAAATATCAATGTTGTCTGCTTTTATTTCTCCTCCATTAAAGCCCCATCAGTCCAGCTCTCCATCTATAAATAGAATAGGAGATTTTCCTTTTATTGTCACCACATAGGACTGTTTCCAATCTAGACACAATGCAAAGCTGATGGATTGTTGCACACTGAGGATTTCACACTCCAATGTGTTGCTTTAGCCTGTGTTCAGAGCCCAGGTCGTCAGTTGGTGGAGAGGACTTGGGTAAAGAACCCACTCTCTTGTATCAAGGCTTGATTGTACCAGTAAATGGAAACAGCTTGCATTGTGCAAATGTGGATTTGTAGTTAGCTAGTCAGTCACAGTTTCCTAAGAGCAAAGGTCAACACTGCAGAGATCATGCAGTGTCTTTCTGCCTTCAGTGCTGAGTCTTCTGTCCACAACGCTTCTGAGCATACTCCCAGCTCAGAGCGACCCCCAAGCCCAAAGTGTTCCCATGACCTTCTACTTGACCTGTGTTGTTCTATGAGTGCTCCTGTGTGTTTGCGTGGAAGCCGTGCAGCGATGGGGAGCAGTCTCCATCCCTGCACTGCTAGCATAGGAGACTATGGTCAGTTCTTGCACAGTCCTACAGGCACCAATAGCTTGTCAGGGATGTGGATTGACGCTCTGTAGTGGGCAAACAAATGTCTGTCTTGGGACTCTTGTAAATTTTTGACTGGGAAAAATATTTCTCAAGGCAGCACTGTGCTCATCCGTTGAAAGTAAAACAGAGGGTTGTGCATAGGCAAACTAGATGGACCTTAGTCTTCTTTTGCCTAGCAAATTCTTATGTTCTTATGGGATACAGGATATAGTTTGTGACATAACATGTCAAGCAACTACCAGGATGGTAAAAGGCGAACAAGGTGGGCCTTAGTCTCTTTTGTCTAACAAATTCTTATGTTCTTATTCAGATCTTCTGTATTTAGCCAGCTCCTTTTTTAGAAGAAGCCTGTATTTAGAAAACTGCTGAAAATAGATGAACTGCTGTTCTCCACACAAATACGTTTCAATAACAGAATGACAAAACAAATAACAAACCCGTGAATTTAAGACCATTTCTATAACATAGCAACAGAAAGCTCCACCTACACTTTTGCCTGAACAGATAAGTGAATGGATTAAGGTTAGCTCACCTTGGACACAGTTCAAGGAAAGTGCATCTAAACGCACACAAAAATATTTAACTGTAAATGAATTTGAACCTTACCTTGTTTTTATTTTATTAAAAAAAGTGCAAAACAAAAAAGACCTTGTTTGGTTGGTTTTACATCTTCTCTACGTACCTGCTAGTGATCTCAACCCTTCTCGAGATTATATCATCTGAGAGAGCAGATGGCACGGGCAAATCAGGGCCCAAATACGGATCAGAGACTCTTGTTAAAAGACTGTGACCTTCTCCACCCTGGTTTTATTAATAAGTGAAAACAGTTAGAGGAAGCTGACAGGCTGCCTTTAGCAGATTAAGTGGTTCTTCCAGTTGCACATCTTGTCATGGTGCCTTTAGCAAGTAGGAGGTGCAGGAGTATCATGCTAACTTTCAGTCTCTTCGGTTCAAGGAAGACTCTGACATAAGACCCCGTCCTCTCGTTAGCAAAGCAAATCGCACCACAAAATACACACTCGCTACACATTACAGTATATTTTGTGAAGCGCTTCGAGACGTCTCGAAGTCATGATGAGGCGCGATATCAAATGCAAGAATTATTATTGTGTTACTGCTTGCTGTGAAGTGGGAAGGGGGGTGTTACAATGGAAACAGAAGCAATGTTACGCTGACACTCCCACCCTCAGACATACAACCAAGCTGTGAAGCTTGTCACCATATGGAATATTTAACACCCCGCGCCCCTCAACACTACTAACCTTCTCATACTCCTATTCAAGTAATCCCTTCAAGTAATAATAATAATTTGGTCACCCAATCCACGACTGTTTGTGGGACACCTCTGTGCACAATTGGCTGCTGCATTTCGCCCACAAAATACAGTCAATCCACTTCACAGTATATCCTGTGAAGTGCTTTAAGGCATCTCAACATTCACTGTGCTGAGCAGCTTATGGGTTACTACTGGCAAATTGGGCACTGCTCAACTCTCACATTCTAGATAAGCTTCAAACACCTGCAGGTCAGGTGCAGAGTAAAGCTCTACCCATCAATACCTCTTTGCACTAAACCTTTGAAGAATCCCTCTTTCTGACTCACTGCGACTTTTCGATTTCCCTTTGAGTGATTCAACCTTTTATGTCCGATAAATCATAAGCTGGTACTTTCGTGTTGTGGATTTGTAACTAGTGATGTGTGTGACTCTTTCACCAGCAAAGTGCAGAAGCTTTTATCCCATTAGCCGGACCTATTTCCAAATTCAACTATAAATTCTCATCCAGAATTGAGTTTGAGATCACATCTGGCACTGAATCAAAATATTCTTTGTTAATAGATTGCCTAATTTGCCCCGTTCGGTTGTTAATTATTGTCAACACCTGTTGAAATCCAGGGAATGGCTGTCGCATGAAGCTTTGGGATTATTCTGTGTGCTGAGCCGAATAAAAACATGCTTTAATGTTTGCATTTTGTGACTTGCATCAGCTAGTCCAGAAAAGCCAAACCTAGTTTTAAAAAGCGAGGTGAAAAATAAGATTCAGTGAATGAAACTCGATTGAAGAACTTGTTGTGGGTGAATGTTGCAATCCCTTTGGTTTAACACTAATTCCTTTGGTGTCAGCCTTTTACTGCCATCTATTCCAACACCCAAAAAACTCACTGTTCATTTAATTACTAACAAACTTCACTCCTAACTGTGCAAATCTAGTGGAGTCTTCATACCTACATTTAGAAGATCATATGATTGGTGTGTGGACACCGATACCTATTTATGAACAATCCAAAATGGATGCAATATGCAGTTGGCTCTTTGTGTGCTTAAAGAATTTTTTCATTAAAACATTTTTTCATCAAGTCGCTGTTATCATCACTTCCTGCAAGTTTTCTTACGCAATTTTTCGTTTCCACATGCCTCTATTTACCCAGCAGTCAGTAGGAACCTGGTTGTTCATTTAGAGGTAATAAGACCTTCCAAACAAAAAGAAATAAAAATAATAATTTGGTCACTCAATCCATGACTGTTTGTAGGTCACTGCTGTGTGCAATTGGCTGTCACGTTTTGCCTGCAAAATCTACAGTCAATTCACTTTACAGTATATTTTGTGAAGCGCTTTGAAACGTTTTCAATGACATAAGGCGTTACATCAAATGCAGGGATTATTATTATTATTATACTTATGCTGCAAAGGTCTGATCTGACTTGAATTGGCAACAATCCAGCTTCCTACACGGACATAAAAACAGATTTGTTTTTATGTCCGTGTGAATTTTACAACTTGAAACACAACTTGACTTGGCAGATGATATTCCTGATTCAGATGTGTGCTACTGTAACCTGTAGTGAGTTCAACGCTAATTCCAATCTCCCTCCCCGAGCAAACCTTCTCCTCCTCCACTTCCTATGCCTCTCCCCTCCCAGCATTACACACCGCAGTCACCCCGAGCTGTCTGAGAAAGTAAAAGGGCTCATCCAAGCAAATGGTCACCTGGAGGAGAGCAGTTGACATGCTCCATAAAGGATCAAGGTCCAAACTGAGAGCTGCTTTCTGTGCCGACTCAAGGTGACAATCTAATGAAGGGGCCCATTGCAGAGTAGAGTTTAAACTGTTAACATTTGACTTGGAGCTTTGAACCTTATTTCCAGTTGCAGATAGAGGTTACTCCTCGATTAGTTCCAATTCTCTGCAAGGCTTATAGTTTGCCAAGAAGCATTTTGCTATTGCGAGGTTAAACTGGAAATCCAACTAATGCGGATCATCAAAGAGTTTTGCCTGTGACAAACTGGCTGTCACATTAAGTCACATTTCATCAAAACAGCCTGTTTGTCATGGTGGGCAAATCGTGCCGGATTTCCAAAAGAGATTTGACGGTAGTGGGATTGGGAGCAGCAAACATGATTCATTACTGCTCTCATCCAATTCGCAATGGCCAGGGAGCGAGGAGAGCTTACCGTGCAAATGTGCAGCGCTCTGCTAACTGGCTCAGATTAGAATATTGTTCAAGTGCTGTGAGATTGACTGGCTTTCTAATATCATTTGAAAACCTAATGGATTGTCCAAAATGTTGTAAACTTGTTTCAAGATTGAAATTGCTTTTTTAAATTGGCTTGAAAGAGGAATTTTTTAAAAAATCCTCAGCAATTTTGCCACAATTTTCTTCCCTTCCCATCTGCTCTCCTCTCCCGAGGTTGCTTGAATCATTTTGCACTATCCAAGTGGCTATTATTGATATGTGAGCCCTGATGGTGGCAGGGTTTTTATTTGACTATTAAGGCATTGCAGTTCTTTACATACACATACGCTGTGTGCATAAACACATAACCCTTCAAGAAGCAGTTTCTTAAGAGTAGTGATTGAATGGGATGATTTTCCTAATGGGGGCACAGGGGCGATAGGATAGCTCCTAAGGTTATTTTGAGTATCATAACTGGACCCCTTGCAGAGATCAGAGTATATAGGCCTGGATTCGAACCTACAGTCTTCAAATTTGTGCAGCTTTAATGGTATCATATCCACTTGGGCATTCAGGAAGTTTGGTACAAACCAAATTTTATGCAGTAATTCAACTATTGAAAGCATTTCCTGAGGTTGCTTCAGTGGTAGGGAGCAGAATTGAACTGACGAGATGATAAGTGATTTATCCTGCGCTTTTAATGTCAAATCAACCTGCGCTGTGTCATAAATAAAGCAGCAAGCTACAAGGTTAGTGAAGGAAGCTTTTCTGGTGTGTACAATTGACCAGTTCAAGTGGAAGCTGATGCTTGCTCACAGCTTGCATTCCCACCCACTAACTCACAATCCCAGCCTTTTCAGTACCAGGAATAAAGCCACGGTTTTCAGATTACAAAGCGAAAATACAATATCGCGTCCAATTTTTTTTCCTTGATGAATGTGCGTTTGCCCTGTAATGTGGCATTAGATTAATGAGAGTCAGAGTAAAGCAATCTGATCCTCCCCTTTGCCCTCCCTCCAGTTAAGGGCTTTTTTTCGCTTGTGTCACTGAAGGCTGCTCACTTCAATTTTAAGGTAATCTGTCAACTCCACCCCTCGAAAAAATGAACGAGTTTTGTCTTTGAGAGATGGCTGTAATACTGTGGCAGATTTTCAGTCGCTGTCTCCTATCCCTGATTCATATTGAAATGATTAGAAGAAATAGTGTTTCTCCGTTCAGCAATTGCAACAGGCTTGAATAAGGAGCACGGGGGCGAGGTGGGGGAGGGAAATGATAATAGGCACAGGCTGAGGTTGGTCTTAAGGTGGGAATTAAAGATAGATAAAGAGGGGATGAAGTGAAGGGATTGAGCCAGGGAGTTTGGGGTTAGGAGCAACACGAAACAATGAGTACATTGTTAGGGCCGTGGTGTTGTTTCATTAGATGAGGGTTGACAGTAAAGATAATGAGCACAGCATATGCTAATGTCAGACCAAATTTGTTTCCAGTTGATCAGGATGGGTTTCCTGCTTGAGAAAAATACCACCCATTATCATTTGTCCAGGTGGCAGGTTTTGGAAGGAGTTATACACCTTATGTTGGTATTTTTGAGGAAGCTGATTAAAACTACAGCTATACATTTCCACTCACTTGCTGTCTGACTGGCTGTGATGAAGTTGGCGAGAGGGACTCAATGCTGTTCTCCCAGCAACAGGGAATAGAGGTTCATCTCTACTACTACAGTCCCTATCACTGAGGGAGATGTGGTATTGATATAGAGAGGTGACCTGACCTGGGTTAAGAAAAATTATTCCCAAACTCCAATGGAAATCTAAAAAAAGTGTATATTCTAAAATAATAATAATAATACTTGCACTTGATATAGCACCTTATCAGGCGATAAGGTTGAGACATCTTAAAGACACATCACAGAATATATTGTAAAAGTGGATTGACTGTGTAATTTGTGGTTGTAACCAAATTTATCATAAGGAATAAGAGTCCTATATGTTAAATGTAATTTACTATGGTATGGTTTCCTAGACACCAAACTCAGGTATCCGTTATTTCTGTGAAACCAGACTATGATTGTTCTTTTAAAGGTATGATGCTCAAACTGCATATATTCCAAATTTAGGATCACAAACTATCTTACGTAGATCTGGAATGGCTTACTTGAATTTAATTGCTGTCTACTTGTTATCAGTATTGATTAGTTTTGTTATTTGTTTTATATTGGCTTGAGAATTCTTGTGTTAGATCAATATGAAGCTTGACAATTTGTTGCATCCCTTCTGATAGGTCTGTTCCATTTGCTTCCAACAGGTAGCGGACTATGCAAAAGAGGACCTGAGGAATGGGCTAAAGTTGTATGGATCAGAGGGGAATGTTGGTCTCACCAATGCTTGGAACATTGTTCAAACAGATGTAAGTATCAACACCTGATGTGCGGGTCCCACTAGATGAATTGCAGCCAGTTTTGCACACAGCAATGTTCCACAAACAGCCGTTAAGTCAATACCCAATTCTATCTGGAAGACTCATACAGGACACTGGGAGAAACTCCCTTCTCTTTTCAAATACTGCCATGGGATCTTCAAAATCCATCTGTATGAACAGCAGGACCTTGGTTTAACGTCTCATCCAAATAACAATGCAACATTCCCAAGTCACTCTATAGCCCAAATGTAAAGTGCACCATGTTCAAACTTATATCCGTTGGCTCATTCAATTACGACTGACCTTAATATCCACAAAAAGCAAATACCTGGTGTGGGAGTTGTAGCTTCATGTATATTTCTAAATCTTTGATTCACATTTTATCTAAGAAACAAGGATGATTTACAGAAGCTTCATCACATTGTATCTCCAACAAACACAAATACAATGATATTTTACAATGTTTGTAAACTGGAAATCTTTGCAGTATTTTTCCAAATTTAAAGTATGCATAATAGTTGTGCCTAGTATGCGAGTTATTTGGTTGGCTTAAAGCATTCAGTATAATTGCTTATTTCTACATTCACTTATGTTTGGTAGTCAGCCGGTGTCTGACACACGCAGAAACCCATCGTCAAGTTTAAGAGTATCTAAATCAGATTGAGTTCCACATATGCCTGGAAATGTCCCTTTGTCTGGAATGATGTGTGTGCTCTCTCGCTGGAGGGCCAAACCCTGCTTACCTAACCCCAGTAAATATTAAACCCAGCTTCACAAGAGCCAAGGTTTGAGGACTCAAAGAATGTGTGCCCGAGGTACCCCTGGAGTTTAACTCGTTAAACCTGTGAACTTACTATTGCGAAAATTGTCTGCTAAGCTATGATCTGCTCATCCAGCTAGGACCATCCATATGTGTCCAAAATCTGATTTGTTTTGTTAGAAACTTGACTCTGTTTCTTTGTCCATTTCTGTCCAGTTTGAATGCTGCGGAGTAGTTAACTTCACGGATTGGGAGCCAGTAATGGGTAGCAATTTTGTCCCAGATTCTTGCTGCATGGAGTACAGCAAAAACTGTGGCCAAGGCACCTCCACATTGTGGAGGGATTCAGTAAGTGGCCTGTTTATACATTCGGCATTGCTTTATCAGTTTCACCCTTGAAGGTTTTGTTAGCATGTTAGGTGTTGTTTGAAAGCTAACATGGTGTTTTCTCTATTGTAGGGCTGTTACAATGTGGTGAAAATGTGGTTTGAAGATCAAACAGTAATTCTTGGCACCATTGCAATGTGCATATTGGTGATACAGGTAATATAACAGCAACAACAACTTGTGTTTATATAGCGCCTTCATGGCGGATGGCGTCTCGGAGCACTTAAACAACAGTCACCAGTCCCTTCAGATAACCTCAACACTTTAATGAATGAGTTACCTTTTCACTGACCAAACTAAACAAAACAATCTGCTCTGCTTGAGTTGTGAGTAGACAAGGCTATGTCAAGTGTGCAGCAAGAAGAAAATATACTTGGAATTTTTGTTGATCAAATTATTGATGATCAAATTCAATTGAATGTTATTCACTAAGTAAATTCTTATGCTCTGTGTTCTCTCCCTTTGTAATATTCCAGATTCTTGGCATGGCCTTTTCCATGACTCTGTTTCATCAGATCTCCAGGAGTGGGAAGAAATATGAAGCCTAACCCTTTGTGCAGGAAGAGAAGCCTCACTATCTGCAAAGCTTTCTTCAGAAAAAACCATGTTTTGCCAGCCAGACACCAGTAAACCATTGTAGTCATCTGCTGCACTTGGAAATCTCCTCTCTACAGAGTTCAGTACTGATGATTCCTTGTTTTTTACATTCAGTGTTCTTTTGCCAAAGAAAACGAGACCGTTGAACAGCATCTGCTTCTGTACTGTTTACACAGCTACCATTTAGAGACAGTCAGCGACATTGTCCCATTGGCACGATAGTGCAAAGGTAATATCAGCCTGGTACTCAAGAAAATAGAGAGCTTGTTACAGCACCTATCCTGAGGGTGTTCACACTCTCCCTCCCCCCAATGCCTCCCCCAACAAATAAGTATAAGTATTAGTTGCAGCCCGAGGTTAGCATGCATTAGTACTCTGTGGATTAGACAAGTCATCTTAACCTATGGGCTTGATTTTTGTGTTTAATGAACGGTGGCCCGACCTGAAATCTTAAATGTACATTTCTCTTTCAGATGCTGTGCATTTTCAGCCCGTTTTTGCTTCTGTTTCTAGCTCCTCCTCTCCCTTTTGAAACACGGGAGAGTTTAAAGTTACTTTTGGGGGTCTTGAGACAAGTAATTCTATGAAAGGCTCTAAGGATGGGTGTGTGGGGCGGGGGTGGAATTGGATCTGTCACACATTTAATAGAACTCTGGTAGGATGGGTGCTCTCTATTCAGTCTCTGGTGCAATAGTAAAGAAGTTGTGCTCAGTGAGGGCAGTGCTGCTGCTGCTGTCAAAGTGGAAGATGTCATCTGTTGTGTCTCATTCACCCATTCAAAGTATCTAACAAACGTGGCAAAGTATGGTAGACACGCAAACAAGTATTCTATATTGCTTCAGCTCACTCTGGACTGTCCAACGGAAAGATTCACAAAGAAATCGATTGCAGAAGCTTTGTTGTAAACCTGGCCATTAGCATGTATTCACTTATTCTTTCAAAAATAACAAGAACGACTTTTTAAAAAGTAGGATAGAAACTGTACCTTTGAACTAAATCATTTTGTACTGTTGGACTTTTTATATTATATACAGTATATATATATATCGGTGTTCTGCCATTCTTCTGCTCTTACTTCACTGAATGAACAAACAAACAAACCACTGTGTGATCTTTTACAGCCAGGTACATGTCTGCTTGGAGGGAAGACTAGGGTGACATTTGTTTGGCGAGGTTATGCTTAGAAATGACTAACTGCAATAAGAATGACAGCTGACTGCGAGCTTTAGGGTTGACATATTTTGACAGGGTTGAGAATAAGAACAAATGAGACCATTGTATTTCAATGAGATTGTCAATTTGTGACTAATGTGTCAGCTAGTTTTAGCATTTCAATGTTCAAATGCCCACGTTTTGCAATTTGTTACCACGGAGAATAATAATTAGTTGCTCAAATTGTAACTTTAGTGGGAAAACTACACGAGCAGAGTAGTCCGTGATATTCTTTTCTGTTTGACTATAATGGGTAATTCATGGAAACAAAATACTTGATTAAGACTTTTGAATTGTGATTAATATTCAATGAAGTTGACTTTTTTTCCATAGAAGTATATAAGTAGATGCCCAGTAAAGCCACGTTTCATATGTACCTGTAAATATTCAAATTTTGTCACCTCAATGAGAATTTAGGCTTCAAATATCTTCTCAAATAAAGCCATAAAGTATGCAACTACTCTGCAAATTAAACAAAATTGTGTCTCTGAATAAGTCTGGTGTCAGGCAAGAGAAAATGATGCCTATTCCATTTTGTAGTTCTTAATAGCAAAACACTCTGCTCTGCTTTGCAATACTTTCTGAAGAGAAAGGGGAACATTTTAGTTTGATATTTTATTTTTGCTTGGGTACTGAACTGCCAGCACAGACCTTAAAGGGTTAAGATATGTATTTTTTTCTGTGCTGCGAGGGATCAGATCAATAAATGGAATTTTTTTTTAAAACTTTGCTTGCAGTTACAACACTGGTTTTGCTGGTGAAAATTCCTGCCCTCATTCTTATCGCATGTCGAGAATTGTAAAGTGAGAACCCTTCCAACTCAAAAGCTTCTGGCATTTAATTGTGCAAATCAATTCTACTTTCTTCTGATTGAAAAAGAGATTTATTAATATGAACTACGGGTCTGGTGCTACGAAAATAAATGACAGCTTCGACTGTAAATTTAATTTGGAAACGTTTTAAGAGCGAAAATTATATTCCTAATACGAGACTACTTATGGGGTGAAAAATGTGACATGATAATTATTACCACATTTTTTACCTCATATCTCAAAAATGATTGCATATCTACCCTCCTATAAAATACCATTCTTATGGCCTGTATTAGAATATGTTCTGGGGTTGAATGATATTGTAACATGTTTAGGACATTTGAGGAAGAAATGGGGCAATTTACATTTATAAAACATGTGATTCTTTTGTCTTCACTATCTTAATTGGCATTGTGAAATGGATAGTATGGTAATCGCCCAAAATATACATACAAACCCCCTCACACTCCCCAGTTAATTCTTTCCTTTCTCTGCTATCCTCAAATCAGTGACTCATAATAATAATATAATAATCCTTGCATTTGATATAGCGCCTTATCACGTCTTCGCGACGTCGCAAAGTGCTTCACGGAATAAACTGTACTGTAAAGTGATGCTGGGGAATAGCTCCATTGACAGTCAAAGCTGGTATTTTTCATGTACGGTGCTAGATAGTGAATGACTATGGGTTAATTCAGATTCGGTCGGGCGGGTTGAGTGGGAAGAGGGTTGGGGGTTGTGGTAAGGTGGCACACCTGAGCCTAACTCTATTCTTATCCAGGATCCACACATGATTTCCAGCACAATATCTGGATAGGAATCAAGAGCAAGGATTCTGTCCAATTCTTTTTCTGCACCACGGATACAAAAACTAAAATTAATCGTAGCTTTTCTTCCCATCCTTGTTCACTCGCTTAGTTGATTTGACAGTTTCAATACAGATCAGGCCTCAAGCCAAGTAACTGGTCTGTTTGGCTTATGTGTCCACTGAGCCATTTAGTGAGGGATTCACATTTCTTTCAAAATTAACTGCATAACACTTCACTTTTTCCATGATGTGTTTTTCTCTCCGTTTGTTGTAAATTAGTATCTTCGGTTAACTCTTTTTGTCAGCGAGATTATATATCAGGATAGAGCTACGATATGCTGTCTTTCACGCTTCAGATTTCTGTTTCTGTGGATTTCCCAGGGTATGCTTACCATAAAAATACTACGCCACACATCAGTGCACATTTTAACACATTCCTACTCGATAACATGAACATATACCTCTAGTTAATGCTGCTGCTTTTCTGTTCGACCTTTGGGTGTTTAATATCCCGAGGTTGATTCTTACTCATAGCTGCTCAAACAGGGAAAGATGTCAATGCATTAAAAGTGGCTTCTTGCCTAAGCCCACACTACCATATAGAGCCATCTGTGATCTTGCATCACTGATGAACTGTATCAGTGTTTGCACAAGGGCCCCATCATCACATTTAACCAGATAAAGGGTTTCCATAAATAATGGATGCATTTTTTGGAATTACTTTCATTCTTGGAACGCATTCTTGATTTCACACCATTTTGATGATTCCAATTTCCACAGCCTCGAATTCTTTGGGACTGTTGCTCATTCTGTTGCACAAGTTTCAATGCAAATGCATCAGTTTCTTCTCTGGGTTAAACGGTCCCCCTTGGAAAACACTGAAGTGCGGACGTAAGATGGAGGGGTGGATTGCAAATGGCTTAGTTTGACTTCTTTCTGAGAACTTCATATTTCCATTTAAACTGAAAAAAAAGAGATGGACAGAGGAAAGTGTTTACTTAGTTGTGCTAATGGAATTGGGACCACAAGTGTTTCAGTGTCAGAGCTCCAGAGTTACTTGATGCTTCAAGTAAAACCAATCTCTTTGGAGGGGTAAGTGGGAGGTGAGAGGTTAGAGGACTGTTGGTGAGTGAAGGCGGTGGTGCTGGTGGAAGAGGGAGAGTTCATGGACTTTGACTTTGATCTTGTTTGCTGCTAACATGGGATTTAATTACGGGAATACATGAGGAAGGGAGAGAGAGTTGAGGACGTCGATGGCAATTCTGAATGGGATTTAAAATTACAGCATTTGTTCTATTTCCGATTGATGATTTTCCAGGACTTTACAGACAGGCTGCTGAGACATGGTTGCCTGAAGAGTGAGCGTAGGAGTTTATTAAAAGTCACACAGTGGTTTCCATTTTTTAGCAATCCCTTTAACTTCCATCTGAAAGTTTTTATAACAGTGGTTCACCTCTGCTTTTCACAATGGTGTTTTGTTTTTCTTCCTTTTGTCAACACAATGTTGAGTTTGGTCATCAATGAGTTATTTTATGGCATGTGTTTTTTTTTGAAATCATACGTATCCCAGAAAAAGTTAACAAGCATCGTAAGCAACTCTTAAGTAATGCTGAATTTATTTATAAAGCATTTGGGCTAAGGTTTAGCAATTTAACAAAAAGCTTGAGGAATCAGAGTTGACTCTGGGGACAATATTCTGTGATGTGCATTGTTGTACTTACTGTTTTATAAACCAGAGTTTGAGATGATTTCAACAAGTATTTGGAGGATTTAAGTGTTTGAAAGCAGCTAAATTCATGCACGTGTTGGTAACTTCCTACAAGGTGCTGATTTTAAAGACAAACTTTCCTGGCCATAAGATAAAGTGAGCTGCTGTGAGCAGGTGAGATGTTTTGCCTAAAAAAATGCAAAGCGATTATCAAATACAGTGTAAAAAGCATGATAACTTTTTTATTTTTAAAATATAATTTTGTCAGAATTTGAAAGTATCCGATGCAGTTAAGTAGTGTATTTTTGAGCCATGTTCACACTCTCAATGGTTTTAAAAACAAATTCAAAACTCTGGATTTATAACCATGCATTGTTTCTGTAATGTTAGATAACTGTATGGATTTTTTTTAAACTTGTGAAATGGTTATACTGTCTAGCTATGTTTTTTTATATTCAGTTGATCAGATAAACCCTTTAACCATATTGATATTGTCACATGATTGCTGCAGAGTGCATTTGATTGACCGTTTTTAAATGCAAAACTATTCAGTCAGACTTCAAACTCATTCCTGTCATTTGCTTTGTTGAACTATCTATCCATATTTGATTTATGCTGATATTTTTCACATCGCCTGCGGGTAAAATTATTAAAGTGATGATTGAGCATCATCAAAATCTGATCTGCTCATATGGTGTCACATAGGTCATTCTCAGTGAGCACACAAAATAAGAAACATTTTTCCTTCCAAATCCAATGTGTGGTGTATAGAATGAATACAGAACTTTCACAAAGGGAGGAATTTGTGAAAGCCATCCCCCTATGATGTCAGGACCATGAAACTATCCCCTTTAAGGTTCAAGGTATAAGGCGGAGGGAGAGTTTGTGAAATCTCTTGAAGCTTCATATTGATGGGATTCCTTCCTGGGTTAGCATTGCTGATCCCGGACATCAAATTTTGGGAATAAATTGAAATATAATTCACTCACTTGCAAAACTTGTGTCTAGCATCAGATCCACACAAATTGCCAGATGTATTTTACACTGTAATGCAATCCCAAGTTTTACCACCAAAAGCACACATACTACAATATAAAATACCATACAATTAGTATATGCCATATCTATTATCAAGTACTATATCATGCAGGTATATCATACCAAATATCATTTATATCAAACCAAATATCATTTATTTCATACCAAATATCCTGCAAGCCATATCATGTGTCTACTATACATAATGGTGGTTACACCAAATGTGGTTCCATACCAAATGCATAATTTTACCATACAAAATGCCACATGTCCCAAAATACAACATACAGTAAGTACTGTGCATATCTGTCTTACCAGATACCACACTATGCATATGTATAGTACCAAATATTAGATGTGCCACCTCACAAAATGGTCCTTTGGCTATTATGTTTGAATAACATTGTAACATACACTTTTTGATCTTGCTATTTTGACCATAGGTTTTCATCCTTTTCATAATGATTGTTATGATAATAATTTGATTGCTGTAGTAGTAGATGCTCCTAAATCACCTGCTGTGTGGGATTTTCCACTAATACGACCTGTTCAGTTTGCAATATATATGGATTAATATCCCACACTAGTTCATTTCTTCTCTTGCAACGTTTTGTCAATGAAATGCGTTCCAACATTTTCCTCTTGTAAAGGGTGCAATAAACATGAGAACCTTGTCGTAAAAGAACAAATATGTTTTTGTTGCCTTTACTGAGTAGTGTTAGAAAGTCTGTAGTATTCTGGTAACCGCATTATTGATTTTGTGTATTTCTAGTTAAAACATGCAAATAGTTTCATTTTAAATAGAAAGGTAAAGGCTTAATAATGTTGCTGACAACCGGAAGTAAAACACTCAATTTCTAGAATAAAAGGCTGAAGTAATAAAATATATGGAATTGTGGAACATTGCCACAGCAAATCCTGAAATATCGGATTCATTCTTTATATTTGCACTGTTGAATATTCAACCACAAATAATCAGCCTTGCCCTGTGTGCTCTATAGAACAATTCACAACTTCTCTTTTGTGCGCATAAATAGGCTTTAATGTGCCATTCTGCCCTGGTTTTGTTCAGAACATTCTTCCTTCTATGCAAATAGTTAATTTAGCCTTTGTACGGATTATTTTGTATTTAGTATTAGACAGAAATAAAATGTACAGAAATAAAGAGTGCTTTTTATCACGTGGGTGTGTCCTTATAAAGTTACATATTCCTGAATGATAGTGGACTGTACATGTTCAATACACTGCAGTATGTAACATCTGTCGTATAAAATACAGGTACATTGGGAAAAAGTTAGGAGTAACCGTTGCTGGGCAAATTAAAGTTTAAAATGAAAACATCTGGCATCAGCNAAAAAATGTAAATTATGATATATGCTTGTGTTTGCCTGTGGTTCCTGAAGCTTAGCATTAATACAAGATAAAGATTGAAGTCTGGGCTCCATTGTAAAATTCAAGGTCATTTCTGAAATTAGTTCAAAATTTCTTTGTTTAGTCCCAATGTCTCCTGGTCTGACTGAAATCAAGTTTAATATCAACAACATGAATCACCTTCAGTAGAGATAAAGGTGGAAACAACACAACATTCCATCTGTATGGCACCTTTCACGTCGGGAGGACGTCCCAAGGCACTGGGCTGGAGAGTCAGGGATTTGGACCCGAGCTGGGATTAGGATCAGAAGGGGTGGAGCGCAGGGTTAGGACTGTGACCGAAGACACGGTCGAAGAGGAGGGTCTTGAGATGGGCTTGAAGAAGGCAAGGGAGGGGACGAGGCAGAGGGAGCGTGGGATGGAGTTCCAAACTGTGGGCGAAAGCTAGTGTAGACAATAATGCAGCACCAGTTTTATTGAGTTATTTCCTCTGCTGCATAGATTTGCTTCAATATATCAGCTTGAAACTGTGTGAGTGATTAAATAGCAATAAAGAAGTTTCCTGTAATGGATGCTCGTGGCCTCGTCTATCAGTCTTGCCCGCCCAGTGCTGTGCATAAAGAGCCCTGTATTGTTCAATGCAAATCACTGCCTGTGGCTGTCAGCGTAGTTGTGTATAATTACCTGGAGTTCGTCGGTCAATGGTGATAGCAAGTTTCCAAAGCAACAGTGACAAATAGGTAAGGTAAGAGAAACCATGACTTATTCATGTTCAACCCACCACTCAATTCAGGCTTTGAATTAGGTGTAACGTGGGTTGCTCATTGTTCAGAATTGGTATCGTCGCATACGTCTTTATAGCAGTTTGGCCAGTGCTGTCAATCTAAGCTGAAAGCTCATCGTTTTTCAACTGTGTGTATACGTTCGTATTTGGGCAATGTGTAATTGCCACATTTTTCTCATGAAAAAAGACATTCTTTCTGCTACGTTTCTCTCCTACTGGAAATGTTTCACTCACTCTTCCATCCACTTGCCTACAGCTCCTAAATACCAGTGTCTTTCCTTGCCTGAATGATTCATGTGTGTCTTATCAGGCAAGTGATGGTAGGCTTGTCCTGCACAGGTCATCAGCTGAATCAAATTCTGTCCTTATCAGAGGCATTGCCCTCCCTGGGCTCCTACACTGACTGAAATCAGGTAACTTAGCACTGACCAGGAAGTTTGTCTGGCTTGCAAGGCTTAATACTGCTCTGGACATTGCTTTTACCCACAAGGACATGAAGAGAGCTGGTCATGAAGATTTCATAAATATCTATAGCATGTACAGCAGAGGAAAAAAGCCCAAAATGGAAAAATAATCTTGTTCTTTTTTAAAACTGCAGTAAACCAAGCAGCGCACTGCCTCCTTTGAAAATGTACCGTACATTCATTTTGACAATTCTGTTTTAGCAGCAAAGTTTATGTTTAAAACTATTGGAGACTGGGAAAGGTAGGCAAGTTTGGCATCGTCGGGAGACATTACCTATGTTAATGAAATACAGTTATTATTATAGTTGTGAGATAGTACTGAGCACAGAATGGCCTTTCCAAATATGTAAGGCATCAAGATTTAAATCAAAGTGAACTAACATTATTTAGAAATTTCCCAAATGTAACTACTGTATTTGGATATTACGTTATGCATAAAACTAAACAGTTTAATTACAAACTGAGTGTCTCTTTTAATCCATATCATTATCTTGAGCAGTCAGTCAGTGCAATGATGGAGAAGCTTTATTTAAGCGACCGCTCACATTAATAGATGCCACCTGATTGATGCAATTAGCCTCGGTAAAATGGGAAGGAGAACGAATCTATTAGTGTCCTCTATTTGCATTCTCCTTCTTGGTTGCTATCCAGGTGGGAATGTGTGGGCAGAACAGAAGTCAACAAAATCAGCTTGGTGGAAAATAAATTATAAAATAGATAAAAAGTGCAGAAGCATCTTACAAATATACCGTAGATTCAAAAGTCCAATTTTAAAAAAGGTAATAAAAATTTGTATGAGTTGTGAACCAGTTACTTTCTTCCCGGTTTGGTGTTATGCTAAACACCTGTTTGGAAACTATGCGTAAGGCTCATTATAGAGATTTTGTACTTCAGACAGTTTCACCAGATTCTCTTAATGGACGAGCCAGTTATAGTTAATTAGAGGTATCTGCACATTGGATTGTTAGTGAATATGTTCAGCATTTGAAGTATTGTTGTATCACTTGTTTAATATTCTATTCCACAGCTTATTCCGCTGGAACAACCCTAATCCCTGCCCATTGGGGCTTTAGCTTGTCGGTTTAACAGGAGCTGAGTGCAGACAGTCTGCCCTGGTGAACACATGGCCCTCCAAGTTTTGCCAATGAACTAGGTTGGCTGGTCTGTGGCTCAGGAACAGACTTCTGAGACAGCCACAGTGACTTGTCTCTATTCTGATTTTCCATTGCCAAGCACCTCACCATAGAGTCAGCTGAACCCCCAAAGTGATCCAACTTTACCTGTTCCCCCCAACCCCTCTCTTCCTCGCCCGAGAAAAAAAGTCACTATTGTCGTTATACATTCGATTTCCGACAAACGCAAGTGGATAGCAGATCCCAGCATCTCCGTAAACTTCCTGGTGAGGAAATTAAGGAGAATGAGTGAAACCACTCTTAAAAGCCAAAGAAAATGACATTTTTTCTTTAACGATCCATAGACTGCTAAGACGCAAAACTGCACAAAATAAGCTATCCAGCAAGGAAGTACTTTTGCAGTGATCTTTATTGTACTGAACACAATAACTGTACATAAGGCAAAATATTGTTTAGAATATTTAATTATCACACTGGAANTTTTTTTTATAAAAACTGATAATCCAGGATCTGAAATTTCTCAACTATTAAGCTATTACTGTCTTAAAATGTAAGATTGTGCAGAATTTGGGTTACCAGTATTCCATTCCAGTCTTGGAAGTCGATTTTCTGTAACATTAAACAAGTTTGTGTAGTAACCACTAAAATAATTGAACACCAGATGATACCAGATGATTCATTTTAAGACAACAATCTAAAACTTTTTAAGTGAGAAATTTCAATCGTTACATTGGTCTATCTTCTTTTCCACACATAATCAACATTGTCGGGCCAACAGCAATTTGGCACAACTGTGAGATAATGTCCAGCAAAACACCACTGCATTTCCCGAATTAAAAAGATGTGCAAAATAAATATCTACTGAATTGTTCTTATGCAAGATGTCTCTGTAAGGGTCGAATACTCAGACTAGGACTCCATCACACTCTCTGTAGCAATGTTAGTTGCGCTGTCGGTAACTGATGATGAACTCCAGGGTGTTGTCAACTGTAGCTTTTCACGGCTTCCAAATGCTGTGTTCACTGCAAGATTATCCCAAAGAAAATCAGTTAAGTTTTTGTGCGCTTGCCAAATTATTCAAGCCTCAATTTGAATCAAAATAAAAATTAAAGAACGGGATATCCACTTTACAATATTTTCTGCGAAGCGCTTTAAGACGTCTTGAAGACGTGATGAGGCGCTGTATCAAATGTAAGGGTTATTATTAGAATGGTGCAATGTCAGGATTTGGATTTTTAGGTACGGAAATGTCAGCGTCCACAACCCAATTGCGTTGTAAGAAATATGCGTTATAACAAGGTTCTTCTGTAGTATCATACCAGGTATTACACTGGAATAACATAAGGCTTCCCTTTCTCAGTTTTTGTTTTTAATGTATGTAGCTCCTCGAATCTCATTACGTGGAACACAAAACTAGTAGCAGTTTCCACACACTAATTCCATAATGCCCCACAGTGACATTGAAATTTGCTACTACAACTGCTCATATGATCTAATTACTATGAATATATATATTTTTAAAAATAATCAAGTGGCAAATAGATGAAACAGGAGGGTTTTCATTGTGACAGGGCTTTTTTTTTTGTTACCCGGTGTCTGGCAGACACCCTGAGCTTTAGAGTGTGTGTACATTGGGTAGCTAACTCTGTGGAATAATTACCTGCAGCCACATCACTGATATCCCACAGTCGCACTCCACCCTTCTGTCCTCCAAAAGTGTATGAAAACGCCAAGTCGGGACACGAAGCTGCACAAAACACAACACCCTGCGGGGGGGGATAAACAGTAAGATGTGAATACAGTCACCGCACTTTACAGTACACCCTGTCAAATGCTTTGGGATGTCCTCCCAAAGTGAAAGGCGATAACCCAAATGTTAAATATTACAGTAAGCTCCTAATAACTCAATCCTGGCTTGTCACTACCATTCAAGTCACCGTGCTGTCCATATCATGGCCTCGTTAGATGCAAAATGTTAATAAGGGACTCCGCTTTACGCTTAGTTTCTCAAAATATAAAGCAGATTTTTATTTTACTTGGATTCAAACAGGCACAGGAGTAGGCCATTTATCCCATTGAACCTGCTTATTTTATCAGCTAATGGCAGCTCTATCTAATTCCTCTCTACTTACTTTTATCCATCTCCTTAATTCTAAAATATCTCTTATGTTCCCTTTAAACACCTCAACGTTTTCAGCAGGTATGGCTTTCGAGGACAGTTTATTCCATATTCTGACAAACACTTGTGTGAATTCATTTTTAAACAGCGTCTTAGCTGTAACTTCAGGATTATGAGCCCCCCACTGATCTTCCATCAGTGTTAAAATGTTAGCCTAATTTTCTCATTCTGATGCCAACTGGCGTATTTCTACTCTTCTATTTGACTTATTTTGCAAATAAAATATATGAGTGTTTACCTCACTGTAACTTACCATTTTCATATCCCTGGAGTGCACCAGACTAGGCTTGTTCCCCAAAATATCCCAGATCTTCACATGTTTATCAGAAGACGATGTCACAAGGCAACCTTTTATCTGGCTGCTGAGTTCCAATCCTGCACAAAGTATTTTTTAATTTAAATATTCAAATAGTTAAGTATTCAACATCATTCATTGAGAGAACTAGTAAGGGAACAGTACATACAAATAACATAATGGTCCATAACAGTTACATGTGTTTTGCCCACAAAATACAGTCAATCCACTTAAAGATATATTCTGTGAAGAACCTTGAGGCGTCTCAATGACGTGATAAGGTGCTATATCAAATGCAAGTATTATTATTATTAGAACAAAATCCAAACTAGATACAGAGAGAATAAATTTGACTGCTCTCAAGAAATATGTTAATTTTAAACTTTACAAAAAGGTACAATACAGATAATAATACAAATTCCCTCAAGAGAGTGTAAAACTAAGCCTGCTTTATATAAGAGCAAACTGGACAAGGCCATGTTTGATCCCTGAATAATTTACACTTCAAAAGCCTTTCTGTTCAACCGAAACAAAGCACGGGAATTTCCATGTGTAAGTGCATAAATGGTGCTCAGTCTGGTTTGGACACGCAAGCATAGTGTTGATTTGCATATGTGTCAGACACCCAATTGACCCCAAAACAACAACAATAATATTACACTTATAGAGCACCTTTCACGTCAGGAGGACGTCCCAAAGTGCTGAAGAGTCAGGTGTCAGGGCCCGAGCATGGGGGAGGGGTGGGGTAGGGGTGAGGGAAGGCAGAGAGGTGGGAGGGAGACCAAAGGAACGATCGATGAGAAGGGTCTTGAGACAAGGGGAAGGAGGCAAGGGAGGAAGTGAGGCGAAGGGACCGTGGGATGGAGTTCCAAAGTGTGGGGGCAGAGAGGCTGAAACCCCGGCCACTGATGGTAGGGCGGGTCGGACGGGAGACATGGAGCAGGCCAGAGCCTGATGAACGGTGGAAACGGGCAGAGCAAAAAACACAGCACCATTCTGCCTCATGACATTTAGACATATATTAACCAGTCAAGAAAGGCATCTTTTTTATTTTTAATTTATTCAATTGAAATTGATCTAAAACTGTGAAGATATAGCACATTAATTAACAAAGGTAACACTTGATTAAGAGGAATTTTCATTAACGTTCGTTGAGAATTCCTGTGAGAAAAACAAGACTGCACAGGGTTTGATAATTAAATTGTACTTTAACAAAGAGTCTTTGTAAGTAGTACCAGAATTTATTACCCCCACAATTAAGGCAATTACTTACCTGTTACTTCCCCATCATGAGCTTTCAATGTGAAAACTGGTTTATCCGCCCGAGCATCCAGGTAGTATACAAAACCATCCTCTGTGCATGCCTGCAACAGCAAATAAATACAGAATAAAACTGCTGCACTGCAATGCTAGGTCTAAAGATTAACATTTCTTGCAAGGTCGCGAGGGTTATCACAAGCAGTTCAGGCTTTGAGCTGATCGCCTCTTTCAATGAAGGTCGATTGTCTTAGTGTAAACTTAACCGCACCATTCCACTCCGAACTGGGGAAGGGAGTGAGGAGTGCAATTTAGACCGAGACAATCAAATAACCCTAATGGGAATGTGGGGAAGCATAATTTTTTATCAAGGTTACATTTATCAGGCAGAATTTAAGCAGCGATTTTCCTTAGGAAATGAAATAGTTGGGGTAAAATTTTTGAGAGGGTAAGATGTGTACATGGCTTGTGGAAGTTAGTTGGCAGAAGTACCAAATAGCCTTTTACATTCCATGCTTTGTGTTTACTCCCTTCTAGGGTTTCCAGTTACAAACTCTGTAAATTAATTTTCCTGCTCACATGCAAAACAATCTCGTTCAAATCAGTGAGAGTATTTTAGGCTTAATCACTTTCTTCCAACAATTGCTTTTATGTTCGAGAAAAGGAGTACTCATTAAAATACACTAATTTATTGTCAAGAGGATCGGACGGTACAATCAGAAAACCCTCACCAAGAAATAAGTGGGTGAGAAATGGTTCCAGATCACTCTCTCGACCTCCCCACTGAACCGCCAGGTGCGATGGTTGTCCTTTGGATTCCGACAATCGTATAATATCACTGACCTGCAGTCAACAGGATTCGTACAACAGGTAGTCAATGTAATGATATGAAAAAATTATTTTACTAAAGCACTATCACAGGTGACCCCTAGTTATAATAATCCTTGCATTTGATATAGCACCTTATTACAACTTTGAGATGTCTCAAAGCGCTTGACAGGATATACTGTAAAGTGAATTGACTGTATTTTGTGGGTGAAACGTGACAGCCAATTGCACATAGTAGTGTCTCCTAAAAAGTTGTGAATTGAGTAACCAATTTTTTTTTTTTTGAAGGAATTATTATTCCCGGAAAAGCGATCGCCGATCGTCTAACAATCGGGTTCTTACTTACTACTAGGTAAACAGAGCCAAGGAAAGAATAGGAAATAAAATTCCTCCTGATCTGAGTGCAGCCCAAGTTCATACACAATAGAGAACAGGATGAGACCATATGCTTTTTCAGCACTGAACAGATGTGTCATCTCAATACTCTCCACCAACCTAAAGCCCCTGCAGACTTTTCTAGTGATGACATCTCACGCAATACCTTCACACACTGGTTTTGCCTGGAACTTTATCCCTCAGGAAGTTTGAATGCAGAGTGACCATCACTTCTGAGTTGAGGTTGCTGGAGCATTTCCACAAGATTACAAGAGATCTATAAATTGTCTAACACAATTAGTTCAAATCTTTGCATCCTAGGGCTAACACTCTGATAATCACTGTCCTTTTAAAGTCATCTCATGCTGCTACAACATCCATTAGAACGTGAGGAGTAAATCTGTGGTCTCTCGTGGCCAAATAATAGCTGGGGAGAAACTTGGGAGACTATGTGAGGTAGTTTCAAAGCCCACAGAGCAGGTAGTCTGCATTCCTGAGAGGAAGTAGTACAGGAAAGGGATTTTATTTTTCTCTTCCCCCTGACCCCCCACCCCCACTCCCTCCCTCGATTTGTTAACTGTAGCTCACTTGTCAAATGATCCAGAAATGAGTGTCTGTGCCTCAAATGGGTGCCATTGGAGAGCTTGTACCTGAAAAGAAAAAAAAGAATCAATGAGGAACAAAATATCCGCAGGACATCAAAAGAACGTACAAGAGAAGAGGCAGTCAACAGATCCCAGGCACCTGAAAGAAATTGATGTCAGACTTCATTAAGGTGATTTCATGCGAATGTTGGAGACAATAACTGTCCCGATAGGAACGATGGATTCCAGCTGAAATTGAAATGCAGTGCACCCACCAGACTGTTATTAATCAGGGATCAATGTAATGTTACGTTAGTTGATCTCAGCTTAAAGACCAGTGCTGGGGTTAGACTTGGTCTGTGACCTATTGAGTGGAAGCACAGGTTCCTGCTCACAATTGCAGTTGCTCCAATGATTGTTGTTGAAAAGTGTGGGTGCGAATGGAAAGGTGAGGACAACATCAGGTGTGACAACGTGTCAAAACTTCTAGCAAACAGTGAAAAAAAAACTCCTGCCTCACTGGTATCAGGCTGTCTCTGTCACCCACTCAGGTACCTGAATGACATTCACTCACTCATGCTGAATTACATCATGAAAGCAATGAGCTATCTGATGGCAAATGTAATTTTCAGTTTGCAGCACGTTGATGCACAGATATCCGATTAGTAAAACTGTCAAAGGAAATGTTACTGCAATGTGGTAGAACCATTTGTGTCTTCTGCTCTACACAGTGGAGGAATGCTATATGGCTTTGGAGGTGGAATACACTCATTTTCTCTGACAGTGACCAAGGTGATGGAGATCTCTTCAGAGATTCCCTTTCAGTTTGTATTTTTTTTAAAAAAAGCAACCACAACAACAACTTGAATGTCTATACAATATGGCAGGTAAGGAGCAAAACCACAAAAACTAACCTCACATAGTCTCCCAAGTTTCTTCCCAACTATCTCTTTGAAAGGACCAGGGTTCCCATGACTTTTCCCTGAAACATTGTTTGCAGATCAATTATAAAATGAAGAATTCTGTTCTAATTTAAAGATGGCTTATTCAGTATCTTCTAAATACAACCTTTGAGAGCAGCAGATGCATTTCTGAAAGAAAAGCATGAAATCTATTTGGATAGTATTGTCACGGACGAGATATGAATCATGTTGAATGAATTGGATTTCAAATAAAATAATGTGGGTAGGCATTATGACAGAAAATGGAAGTGTGGTTTGAAAAGTCAACACGATCATTTAATATAACAGAATTTATTGGCACATAACATTCGGAAAGTGCTCATCATTCCGAGAAGATAAGTTTTTAAATAAACTTCTCGCTCAAAAAAACACAGAGACTGACAATGACAATCCAATTCACAGAAATTGTAACCAGTGCCACCTTTAATTACATCATGAATTTTTCCATCCATGGAACATTTTAACATTATTGACAGGCCACTGGAAAACACATCCACACCAATTCCAAACACAAAGCAGATTGATGAAAACTCACTCATTAAGTCTCTGAAATGGCTATTTTGTCTTCATTCCTTAAGTAAAATGACTTCCGTACTTCAGTTTATTTTCACAGCAGAATGTATTATCTGTCTCAAGTTGGTGCCACTGACTGTCGCATTAGATTACCTCAGTGAACAAGTTGACACAAAAAATAAATTCTGTTTTGCAAGAGTTAACTTGGAAACCACCAATAACTGGCCACTATCTTATCATCACCATTAGAGACACCTCCCATTCTCCCTTCAAAAGATCCATCACTTTTCTACTGTTTAAGTTCCTGATATTTCCATTCAAGAAAAGGTAAAGCTGACTTGCTGATCAATGATCTACAGCTTGTGAATTCTGCTGAAGTTTGTCTTTTTGACTCAACACTTTGGAACGCTGTGTGACAACCTGCAGACCACCACAACCGTTGGAAATTCTTACATGAATCAGGTAAGTTCATTGTGTGCTATGTTTTGTCTAGAACTAAGCAAATAGATAGCGAGCACGGTGATAATTCAGGGATCAAAGATTTCACTAGGCAACTACACCCATAGGAAACATGAGTTTGTGATTTTGCGAAGGAAATAGTCAAACAGCAAATGTTTGCTGCCACTATTTCTGTTGTAATTTTACAGAAGATACGGATTAGAGCTAGACCATAAAGATTTATCAATTCTCATTCTGCTTAAAATGCTATCGATACTCTCGTGTAACCTTACCATTGCTAATCATATGTTCAGCAATAAGTGACTGAGGGGATTAAATCTCACTATACTACATCCACAATATGAGCTCCATCAATGGCTCAGTTAATAAATAAAGGGCAGTTTAGCGCCGCTCTAAGGAATGCGGATTAGAAGATTGCAGAAGATTGTTGCTCCCTGTTATATGCTCGGCAGGTTTTTCTTAAACTTTGGAAGCAGCCAAATGGACCTAAGTGGCCTATTCCTGCCTTGTACTTTCCAATGTTCATTTTACTGGGGAAAAACCTCTCTAGATATCTCAATAGGAAAATTACACGGAACATTGGAAATTAAGGTGAATCATTGTGAAACAAAAATTTTGTTGGAAATGCTGATTTAAACCTTTCATATATAACTAAACAAAATATATTCCTGGTCACTGAATTTTTAAACAACACAAAATTCCATTTGCATAGCGCCTTTCATGTTGGTTGCTGGTCATCTCTTTACTATCGTTGCAAGGCTTAGCATCTGGCTATTGATGAATGACAGATGATTACAAAATAAGTACAAAAAAATCAATTGTCCTCACACTCATATTATGCCTGTTCACTAAACGTTCGCAGGAACAGATAAACCAGGCAAATTATTAACTATACAACAAACACCTTAGATAACTTCATACATTAAGTAATGTGTTTCTGGCTGGTTTTCAGTCCAGCTATTTTTATCATTTTGTTTGAAAACATTTCACTCAAACGTTCAAACTACCAGTATCGTTTTATGTTCGATCTCTTTCAAAGTATAGGAGTGCAGAAGTACAACTGTAATTTGCATTTATGATCTGCATACTTTACTTGGCCTCTAATCACAATCTGTCCTAAACCTGAGATGCATCTGTAGGTAACACGAGCATCAAACTTAAAAAGGACAAATGATTTTTTACCCTCTCCAGCCTCATTTCCTCAAATAGACTTGGGAGTATGTGCTGTTTACAGATTTTTGTACACGAAAATTGTGTGAGCTGCAGATGAGCATATATCCCTTGACAAGAAACTCGTTGGCCAAATGTCAGACAATTGCCCAACCGCTGACCCAGATATAATTTGGGGAGGAAGGAACATTTTAGACAAAGAACTGGAGGATGAACTAATATTTGCTGGGAACATTTTGTATCTAGGTGCCGTTCACATCAAAACCTCCAAATGTGGGAAACTCCTTTTGCCCGCTACGCCATTGATAAAAGCAGATACAAAGATTTTATAAACATAATATGAAATTTTTGGCCAAGGAATAAAATCTTTGAAATCTACAATTGACAGATCAACATCATTATTCAATGAACAATATACGTTGCTTCTATTGGACTTATTACTCAATGGAGTATGTCCCTGGAATGTTTTGATGCCCCAGTAATAATCAACCAGAAAACATTGGAATGGGGCAGCACTTATATGGTTGTTAATGGTACACTATCATTTATAGCATCTAGGAGATTCTAACACTCTATGCAAAGCCTTTAATCTTGCAATCTTAACGACACAATTACAGTTGCCATTTACAAACAAATACAAGGCTGAATGAAAGAAGTGTTATCTGTCATCCAGATAAGGTCACTCTTCAACAGATAGGCGTCGGGTAGATACAGTAAAGCAAAGTGTGATCAACCCTGCAGATAAAAAAACTTCACTAATTGTTTTTAGGGATTCCGAGGATTCGTTTTCTTGTGAATAAGGAATTCTTGGCACCGATGTTTAAAATTGTAATTTGTGGTTCATTTTTGCTGCGCTGTTTCAGAAACATTTCCCCAGTGTGTCAATATCAAAGGCAGAGGTAATAAAATATGTAAAATATGAGAAGCAGTTATTCTAAAAACAGAGCTAAAGTCTTGCTGGCGTCTTATTGCAGGCATATCATATCCTGCCAAGTATTGTGGAAGGGCACAGATGTATTGATTTAATGCTTAAAAGGACACGATCATGATCATCGGGGAGTGAAAGAGGCAACATCTGAAGCAACTTTGCACCATTTTCATCATGACATCACCATTAAACAGCGCGATCAGTTTGTGACGAGAATCAAAGCCTTTTATTGTTCTGTTTGACAAACACTTCAGCACATCAGATTACTTCAGAGCTTTTTTGTGCTCACTGGTAACGATACCATTTTTAACGATGTACGTGGAATGTCTCAATCAATGACTGTGAATATCAACTCCCTACAGTCTATTGGTGGGTTTTAACTCTTAAATCTTTTTGACCATCCTTAAATTCTTTGCTGAACATCCTTAAATTCTTTGCTGAACATCCTTAAATTCACCCTCCTTTATTCCCTGTTCAGGTTTCTCTGTAAAGTGCTTTGAAATGTTCATTCTACATAAACAGTGGTTTTACAAGTGGAAAGATGTTTGTAACCCGTAGAATTAGACTGTAGCACAAGCAGTCCAGAATGATGCATTGATGTTGCAACAAAATTAATGAGTTAAAGAAAATACCAGAATTGAGTGAATCACAGTACAGCATGATAAAGGATCGTTGGTGGAATCTTCAAATGGCCGACAAATCATTTACAGCTAATGCATATACGGATCGCTTTTCTGGGTGTAATAATCCCTTCAAAAAAAAATCCACGACGGTTTGTAAGACACTGCTGTGCGCAATTGACTGCCGCGTTTCGCCCATAAATATACAATCAATTCACTTTACAGTATATTTTTTTCGTACATTCATAGAATGTTACGGCACAGAAGGAGGCCATTCGGCCCATCGAGTCTGTGCCGGCTCTTTGACACAGCGTCACTTTCACTAACCCCAATCACCAGCTTTCTCCCCATAACCCTGCAAATCCGTCTTCTCCAGATATCTATCCAGTTCTCTCTTAAAAGCTGTTATCGAATCGGACTTCACTGCCCTTTCAGGCGGATCATTCCAAATTCGGACGACTCGCTGAGTGAAAAGATTTCTTCTAACCTCCCCTCTGCTTCTTTTGGTAGATATCTTAATCACACCTACAGCGGAAACAGCTTTTCCCTATCTCGCCTGTCGAAACCTTTCATGATCTTGAAGACCTCTATCAGGTCCCTGCGTAACCTTCGCTGCTCTAATGGGAAAAGTCCTAACTTCTCCAGCCTGTCCTCATAGCTAAGGTTCCCCATTCCTGGTATCATTCTCGTGAATTTCCTCTGCACCCTTTCCAGTGCCTTAATGTCCTTCCTGAAGTAAGGTGCAAGGAAATGTTGCCCTGCTGTCAAGTTGGGGGAAAATAACAATACTTTATTGTTTCCTCACAGTTCACAGCGACCTAACTTTCTGAGTCTGATACTCAGCGAATAATTGCTTAGCTGGTTTGTCACCTGCTTTAATTTAATCTCTGCATTCTTTAATCTTGGGTGCCATTGGGGCTTTGGTCATATGACACTCTCTGAAACAAATCAACCAATCCTCAAACAAATTATTCACAGCTCCTGACCTACATCCAAAAAAAACGCTTCTGCAAATCCTGAAATTGTCCTTTCCCAAGTGTTCAATCAACTCCTTACCCCCACAGCAAGTCTGGAATGGCACCCAACCAACCCTTTTTGCAAAGCAACAAGGAAATTTGATGCATCTTTTTACTGCAAAACCCTTTACAGGTTAAAAAACAAGAGTCAATTGCAGCACCAATTTTATTCAGTTGTGTATCTGAATGCTGTACAATACATCTGCATTAAACTGCTTAATACTGAGTATATTTTTAAAACCACTAAAGTTGGTGGGCATAGAGGGGAATTTTGAATTTGCAACTTCACTGCTTGAATTGTGCTGGTGCAAAAGGTTCTCATTAGCTCCACAGTAAGCGAAATAAATACTAGTTTCTTTCAGTGAAGCAGATGACTTTTCAGGCATACTAGTGTTTGCAAAGTTAGCATCAATCTATTGCGGGTTATCTTAACTAATTCTTGTGATCCTGATCTCCAGCTGAATTCAGAGTTAAAAGCCATTCGCAAAATAATATAAAAACAATTGAGGCCCATTTAAAAACAGCCATTGTTCCGGTTCAATGGAAGAAAGGAAGCAATAGTTAATCTTTTTGTGTTTTCCCATTAGCAAGAAAGAGAAGAAGACAATAGCATTAGAGGCAGAGAGCTAGAGTCTGCTCAATGGCCTTTCATCTGCTTCATTATGTTTGACATCACAAAACTTGCGATTTCCTCACATCTTGAATAATCAATCTTATTCATTTTGCTGAAGCAGCAAAAAGAATACACTTGCTCACGTGAGCCCATTTCAAACAAAAAATTTGCTGCAAAATATTCACAGTGTAGCTCGCTCAAATTCATTAATCAAACAAAGCGTTAATATGCCAACAGATTTAGCTTACAGGATATACAACTGGCATTCCCCAATTGATTTCCCATCCACTCAGTAGATTTTTGTGGCCTGCACGACATATCCTTCAGCCAGTCGAAGTCACGGCTTCTTCAGACCGTTAAACCGTGACCAATGTCACTTCTGATCTACTGATAAAACCTTGCAACACGAGATGAAAACTCACAAACTCATGCCGCCGCTAACTCACTGTGAATGTAACACTTAACAGCTGGGCTACAAGACTGCTTCCTAACTGTTTAATCAGAAGTTTAGTTGTAACAATCTTTAAACTCGGGACTTCTTTTAAAAAAAAACGGTCTAAACTGATCATTTGTTCGTTTACATCGTGAAGAGAGCCATAACTGCACAACGGCAAAATAATAATAACCCTGACTTTTAATATAGTGTCTTTCACGTCAAAAGGACGTCTCAAAAGAACTTCTCAGGATTTACTGTGAACTACAGGTATTGGTATTCTGAGGCAAATACAACAGCCAAAATATGTTCAGTAAATGTACCCAGATGTAACGACAGTGTCACATTACTAGATTTCAATCCTGATATAGTAATTCACTGAAACAAAAGGAAAAGCAAACAAGATTACGTCCAATTCATGTTCAAATGGCTAGATTCTAAAACTTACATTAAAAATAGCATTTTTCTTGATAGACTTCATATAAGTTTTATACAAAATTCTATAAATTTACAAACCAGCCCGTAATAAAAAGCTACTGGAATGTGTGGTTGATGTACAGACTGAAAGTCGAACACTTTGTTAGTTTAGTTTGTCGATCCCCATTCTTAATGCTACACAGCACCTTTTATTCTCCGGCAAACCAGAGTTGAACAAAACGCTTATATATTAACGAGTGCACAGAGAACAGCCGAGCACAGAGCAGCATTATGAATGTACGTACTAATTGCACTGACCTTGTACACACACCCTGCAGCTTAAATACGACTAGCCTACATTTTAATTATTCAGTATTTTCCCTACAACTTCAAGGAATGTTCTCAAAAATCTACTAATTATTCCTGTGAGTACATTTCCTTTTGTTTTAACAATGAATGTACAATTTCCAATTAATTGATTGTTTACTTGTCAAGTTTAGGACTTTTATCATGTGAATGTTTAAGGTTTTAGTGAGACCAGGACATTAATGTGTTCTTCAGTGTCAGAGCAACAAAAACATGCTCTGAAAGTAGTGGAAAATAGTTCAAGTAGAATAAACTGGGGTAGTCATTGCATTTGGGCAAATATTGTTGCATATATGTATTTTAAAAATCTGTCCTTAGTTCATTTGATACTTTTAGGGTAGACATTTAAGAAAAATACTGAAAACAGAAAAGCACAAATCCATAAACTGATCTTGGAATGAAGTTAAATCAGAACCTGTTCTTGTGATAGCTCTGCTTCATGAAGTAAGAATATTAGATATGGTATGTGTCCTAAAATGGGTGACTGTTACTTTGATACAAGGAGTCTGTGATTTGCATGGCATATTATGAACTGTAAAGTGAATCAGAAAGTTGAAAATATGCGTTGCCGTGAGAATTAAACTAAAGCTTTATCCGGGGCCTTGAAACCTCAGTACTGAATTGACTTCTTTTTCAAAAGCACTTCACTGCGAAGTATTGAGTTTCTCTGAAATGTGCGCCGGGAAAGAACAGCAGTGAATGAAGCTTACAAGCAACTAAAATAGTTTTCTAAGTCAGGTGTCTGACAGAAGAATTTCATGTCTACAATTTAATAATGTTCATTAGGTCTGTGCTGCATAGTTGAAATGCCACTGCCAAGCCACTACCAATTGCTGTGCGCAATTGGCTGCCGCGTTCGCCCACAAATATACAGTCAATTCACTTTACAGTGTGTTCTGTGAAGCGCTTTGGGACGTCCTCCCGACGTGAAAAGCGCTATATCAAATGCAAGGATTATTATTATTATTATTATTATTACCATACGAATGGATTGTGCTGCACCTGAAGGACATTTCTACATCCTACTCTTGCTGACAATAAATTATGCTCTAGCCACAGAGGCAATAGAAGCCAAGAAGGATTTTTCTGTCCCTTTCCTTCCCCTCCACTCCTTCATTGTGAGAAAGATAATTCAGTGTTTTTAAAAATATGAATGTAGTAATTAGTACAAAGTGCATTACCAAGCCTTAATACAAAGGGTGCACTGAACATCACAGCAAGAATAAACGTACGAGCGGTTCTTAAAGCTATTCCAGTGATTATGTTAGTGTTTTAACACAATATCCAATTGTCTGTGACACCATTTGGTTTGGATCTCCTTTCACAGGAATAGTATCGAGTGACAGGTTTTTGCTCTGTGCACCATGTGACAGATGGACTACGACAGTCAGTGTCACAAGACAGTCAAGACCTCTATATACTCCGGGGATGGGGAGGACGGGGAATTGCACAAAAATATCAAGGCCGCAGCAACACTTAACGATGCTTAATTCTACAGTATATTATTAATTTTCAGTTATATTCTTGGGAAAATCTGGGGCTTTTTTAAAAAAATATTCCGTGCTGCCCCATGTTCAATTGGGGGGAATAGGAAGTGGCTCAGAGCCCAGAAAGCTGCTTCACAACACTGTGTTTAGCAAATCAGCAACTCCAACATGCTCAGCAATCATGACGAACAATTATTCATATTCAAAGCAAGAAGAGAGTTCAAATTCTTCCATGTAATGAACCTCAGCCCCAAACAGCCGCACAGCTAGTGGCAGGGAAAATGATCAGGAGCAATCATTCTGGTTTTATTGGCTTTGTTCAGTTATGGGACGTCCTCCCGACGTGAAAGGCGCTATACAAATGTAATTTTATTGTTGTTGTTGTTTAAGATTTGCTGCCCATTTCTCTTGAAGCTTATTAAACCACGCAAACATATTGGGTCAAAATTCTATCGTGTAATTAAACCTCTACTTAATTAAAATATTTCTTTTTTTTTCCAGAGCGAAATGGCCTATGGTGGGTTCCTCTTGCTGACAGGGCTGACATGCTGTCTTTGCCCCCAGTCAATTACAGCAGCACCGATCGCAATGGATTTCCATCTCAATTATCAATCTGCATTCTCAGCTGCTAGAACGAGCAGCATGATGGGAGGGCTTCAGAAAGCCGTTACATTCGACAAGGTCTTGGTTAATATTGGGAATGACTTCAACTCCGGCACGGGAAGGTTTTCCTGCAGAATCCCCGGGGCGTATTATTTTGCCTTCACGGTTGGAAAATATCCAAGGAAGATGCTGTCAGTTATGTTAATGAAAACCGGGCATGAGGTTCAGGCAATAGCATATGATGAGCATCGGCAGAAGAATCGGAAAGTGCAGAGCCAAAGCATTATGCTGCAATTGAAAGCAGCCGATACGGTCTGGCTTCATTTGCACGGGAGCTCAAAATATGCCCTGTATAGCAATATGGGTCCATATACAACCTTTACTGGGTACTTGATATATCCAGAAATACCTCCCAACTGGCTGCCTAACAGTCTGCATTCAAGCTGGCATGCCTCTGATTGTACCTATTCCACCACTAAATCAAAAGTCAACAGGTCATCACCCAACTGTGTGACACCACCTCATTCAACCGATGATCTTCGTTCAGCCTTTTCTGTAGCCCGAACTAAGTCGCTTATTGGGGAGAACGCGAGAGATCTTGAACACAAAGCAATGACATTTGACATTGAATACATCAACATTGGCAACCGTTTTAATAAGTCAACGGGTTTTTTCACCTGCCGAATCCCAGGGGCCTACTATTTTTCATTCAATGTAGGAAAATATCCATTTAGAGCCATTTCTGTTAAGTTAATGAAGAACCACAGTGAGGTTCAGGCTATGATTTTTGACGAAGACGACTCTCGCCAGAGGGAGATGCAAAGCCAAAGTCTAATGTTATCTCTTAAAGAGGGAGACACAGTGTGGTTGTACAGCCAGCAGCATGAGCGCTTTGCTCTGTACAGCAACAATGGCAAGTACATTACATTTACAGGGTTCCTCATCTATCTTGATGCTAACTTTCTAAACGATTACAGATCTTTGTCAGGCAGACAATGTTAAACAGTTATCCTTGTTCAGAATGACGGATGTGGACCAAATAAATCGCTGCTTCAATTACAAACAGCTTATCTAAACAATGTGGAGTGGACGTAGATACTGCCATGTGAAAGGGTTCTCACAAACCTACAGTTCAGATCTACTTATCTAACTTCTACTGTGATTTACAAAAGCATTTTTCTCCATATTTTGTAAAGTTTTAACCATAAGAGAGAAAGAAAATCTATTCCCTAGTTTGTTTAACTTAGCATTTCTAACTGTTTGTATCTGAATTCGCTACTGCAGTTTCTTGTATTATCCCGTGGTTATTCCTGAAACATTAATAGAGCAGAAATAACTTTTTACTTTTAACCAAAAATGCCATACTGTAGTATTACACAAGTATACACTCCTACCAGTCAGACAACAATGCTGATACTGAGCACCACAGGTCATTCTGTTTATTTGCAACAAGAGGATATGTGGATTTTTAAGCTGCAACGTTCCTGAGCCATTAAAACATTAATTACTGTAGTTAAAAAGCATCTGCTCTGTGATCGGTTTGTTTTAAAATATCATGCACTCAAACTATCATACTTTGCAATTGTACGACACACAACTACTGATGATCCACATTGTTCACCCCACTGGTAAACAATGCAGACAAATGTCATGTTCCATCTCTGCAAGTAAAATATTCAAAAGTCAAAATCATAGCAGTTAGCACAATATCTTTCCAGGTTGCTATGCAATTTATTGGATTTGGTGACATTCTTATTTTTGGGGAGTGACGGATGAAGATCAAAGGCAGCAGTCACTGAAACACACTGCTTTTTGCACAGCTTTGAAGATATAATGTGCACAATGTTTTTTAAAAAATGGCTTCTCGCATTTTGCAGTGGTTACACAGCACTGCCACAGATTCAATTAACTGTCAGCGTCTCAATGATCCTGCATCAGGCAGCTGTTTTCTTGAAACTCCTTCAGTACATTTTCCTCTATTTAATGCAAAAAGCCAAACTTTGCAGTAGTACTAAATTAAAAACATATTGGGAAAACAGTTGTATTTTAAAATATTTTATTTGAGCAATCGTTAGTAACATGGAATAGCCCAAACAAAGGAAGTGACTTATAATAACAATAATAATACTTGCATTTGATATAGCACCATATTACGTTCCTTAACAACAAGACAACAACAACAACAAGATTCCATTTATAAAGCGCCTTTCACGTCAGGAGGACGTCCCAAGGCGCTGTATCAAGTATCAAGTATCAAAGCGGTTCACAGAATATACGGTAAAGTTGAGGGACTACCTATTTTGTGGGCGAAACACAAGAGCCAATTGCCCACAGCAGTGTCCCCCACAAACAGTGGTGGATTGATTATTATTTTTTTGGAGGGATTATTACCCCTGGAAAGCGATTCAACAATCGGGTTCCTACTTAGACTAAACAAGTTTCTAATGATGAGAACCATCCCAGTTTCAGACACAAACAAGAAATAGCTGGACTTAGCTGCTTTCCATATCTTTATTATCTCAGAAGCTTTTCATTCTCATCAATCCACCACTAGATTCAGGCCTCAGTAAAGCTTTATACATTCACCTTCCAAAAAGTCGTTTTAAGATTTTGAATGTAATTTGACCGCCAGTCATTTACAACAAACAGGGTGACTAAATGCCAATTACCTCATCAATTTAACCTACTCAAGGGAAAATATGTTTAGTATTTTTCTGGAAGCAAAGGTCAATTTATCATCAAAAATTATACAACAGGAAGAAAAATGAACATATGGACTGTAGTTTTGTAAGAAGTGCTAATTAGATTACTGGATTATTAATGGTGTGATACTCTTTGTATTTGTTGGATTTCAACATGTTAACTGTGTATCCAGACATGTGTATATTTCTTTTTGAATAAAATCTTCACAAAATGATAAATGTATTACAACTAATACATTTTTGTCAGTGTTTTTTTTCTAAATAAGGGACTAAGGAGAGACTATAAGTATGACACTAAGCAAATTCAAATCTGCTCACAAATGGAACATTTTTCAAAGGAACCAACAATCTTAATGAAACTGCTTCCGACATGCTTAGACATTTTGAACTGTAACTGCATCCAACTTACATAGGACCCAACAATTAAGGAGGCTAGGAGAGCACTGTAGAAATCTAGTCTCAAAGTGATGAAAGTTAGAATGAGGATTTTAATTGAATTGGGATGATATTAGGGACGTAATGTAGAGTCCATTGAATTTCAGCTGTTTGAACTTAAGTAAACTGTGCAGCTATTACTTCAGAGAGTAAAGATGTTTTGTTCTGAAAATACATCATTTCGTATGTCACCCGAAGATGTGTTGATGTCAGATAAATTGGAAACGCTGTTTTATAACAACCCAAAAAACACAAAAATGTCTTTGAGGAAGCAATGTGTGGAATGTTCTGCAATTTTCTGCAACAACTATACAAAAAACATCAACTTACATGACCCTCTACATTAGTGAATACAATTGAACTACGCAAGTACAACTTGAATAGTCTGGTTGGAGGGAAGAGAAATTGAAAACTCAATGAAAAGCGAACGGTCCCTGGAGAGTTGGGTTTTCTGTTTCTGATCACTTGGATTTCTGGCTCCAGTGGAACCACATCCCCACATAAGGGAAAAGGCATTAAAGCCTTCAGTACGATTGGGGGAGGGGGAGGGGAGGCGGGGGAGAAGAGAAATAATTGAGAGGCAATAAAAAAGGTTGCATTTGTTGTGCAGTTGTTGTATGTTGCCACTGTGGCTGTGGAATGTGCCCTGCAATGTAAATGGGTGGAATTCCTCTGGCAGCCAAGACCATTAAAGAATCTTCTTTAATGTCAAAGTGTTTCTATATAGAGCGCCAAGCAGTAAGGAATTTTTTGTGGTATACTAAATGATATACTGTATTCATAAATTTATTAAAATCATACATACAAATAATTGGATAATACTAGCACGTGTTTTAATAAACTGTATGATAATCAACAGGAATTAGATGGAAGGCTTTTTTAAAATACAAAGGAGGGATTTCTATGAGATGAAAGGCAGTGCAGCAAATGTAATTATGTACCAGTCATTAGAACTGTCCCCTGCCTTTGTACTGTAGTGGTTGGTGATTAAAATAATTGAATGCTTCAAGCTTTACTAATATAAGTAAATGCAAAATCTGGCATAGAGCAATACCAACTGTGGTCTTTGTTGGCTGTTAGAAAACCAAAGTATTCACTAGTTTGTGTATTTGCCACTGCAGGTGTCCATTGGCAAAATTAGGGTTGGAATCCAATTAGTATCTACACATAAAACTTGGAAGCACGTATACCCATTGCCCCTTCAAATCTACCTTGTAACATCTAAAATGCCAGTGAAGTGATCATTGAAGCTTATGCTGCAGCTTACCTTGTCTGTATGCATCGAGAGAGTAGCTGCAGGTTTTTTCTGCGCCATATCCCAGAGAATCACCGTCTTATCAGCTGAAGCACTCGCCAGGACGTTCCTGCCACAAAATACACAGTCACTACACTTTTACAAAATATTCTGTGAAGCACTTTGAGACATCTTGACGACGTGATAAGGCTCTGTATCAAATGCAAGGATTTTTTGTATTATTATTATTACCTGTGCACTCCAACAGTGCCTTACTAACATAAAGTTCAAAACGTGCTCAAAAAGCTCAAAAGGTACACAGTTGTAAACATGGCAATGCGGCATTGAATTATTGTATTGACCATTATCTTACTCATTAGATTATGTAAAACAATTCTAAATTACTCCCTTTTAATTGTCAAACATCAAATGCTACAAGTAAGCAAACAGAAGTGCAACCGCGCCACCATCTGGCATATGGTAAGATTACAACAATGTTATTATAGTGTCTCCTTCTTGTAGAGAAACATCTTGAGATGATGTCAGATGATAAGGGCGGTAAGACACAGAGAAGGAGCAAGACATTGGGGTTGAATAAGGGGGTTTTAGACATAACGGCTGAAGGCTCAACCATTAAGGCAAGGAGAGCATTTGAAACATCAAGTCTGGAGGTGAAAGTTTCACCCACAAGATACAGAGAATACATTCTGCGAAGCACTTTGAGACCTCTCAACAACATGACAAGGCGCTATATAAAATGCAGGGGTTATTATTATCAGCATGGTAAAGTGACAGAGTTTCAGTGGGAGCTAGCTCAGATGCCATGACTGGAGCAGGAAGGTGCACGAGGGAAGAGATACAAATTTATTCAATTTCTACATTTGATTTACATCACCTTTTCAATCAAAACATCTTTACAGAGATATTTTTCCAATCCTGGAAATAAAAGATGACAGAAAGTATCGATACCTGATGTGTCGGTTCCACGAAAGGTCCAGAACAGCATCAGTGTGTCCCTCTGTTCCTTCTTTAGTCTCTCCTTCGTTCTGTAAGAATTAGCTCACAATAGAAAGGCTTCTCGATCTCACTTTTTCCCACATAACTGGTTGCCGGTTTGTATTGCCACCTAATCCGCAATTATCTCCACAATCATTATGCCATCCTGCATTTGATTTGTATTTGCTTCTGTACATGGATTGTTAGTAAAAACAGAGCTGGTTTATATGTGTGGTTACAATAGCCATTCTCACCACGCTTAGATCACCCAAAATTGGATGAGCTATTGGATGAGCTATTGACGGGGGAGAAAGAGGCTAGGATTGTGGTGAGCAGATCCGGATCTGGGATCAGCTGCAGAGTAAATGGTAGGGTGAGTGTTCTGGAAGGATGAGATCAGATCACTCGAAGGGCTTTCTTCATCCAAACCAATATTGGGATCTTGCGAAATGCATATTGCAAGCAACTTCCACTGGACAGAAAACTTAGATCGTAATAATCCTTGCATTTGATATAGCTCTTATAAAGTCAAGAAAGTCTTAAAGCCTTCTGTTGTAAATGTGTGTACCACAGGAGCACCTGGGAGTAATACATTAATAATAATTCTTGCATTTGATATAGTGCTTTTCACGTCTTCTCAACTTCTTAAAGCGCTTCACAGAATATACTGTAAAGTGAATTGATCGTATATTGTGGGCGAAACGCGGCAGCCAATTGCGCACAGCAGTGTCCCACAAACAGTCGTGGATTGAAATGACCAATTCATTATTATTTTTGTTTTTGGAGGGATTATTATTAGCTGTGTGGAGTAAGGAAACTTGCCCAAGGTTTCGCCCCGCCAGGAATTGAACCCAGGTGTCTCGCTTGCAAGGCGAGTGCTCTAACCACTGAGCTACAGGACTCCACATAAGTAATGTAACTCCAGTAAGTAATGCAATGTGATAAAATCAAACAGTTTACCTTCTTTCCTTTCTTCTTTCTTTTTGCTTTTTTATACCCCAGGCTGAAGACAGGTTCAAGACAATCAACCATATCCAGGTCCCACACATCAATCACTGGCGTCATGTTGCCAACTGCAGCATAATTCCCTACACACACAGAAACAGTCATAATTCTGTACACACACACAGTCATAATTCTGGACATACAGAAAGTCATAATTCCCTACACACGCAGAAAGTCGTAATTCTCTACATACACAGAAACAGTCAGCTGCCTGTCAGACAGGTCAACGTTATATAACCTGAAACTTTGTTTGGGCGATTTTCTACATTATAAAGGAAGCGCAAAAGAAATGGAAATACTGTAAATCAAGCAAAATAAACAAAGGGAAAAAGATTTGAAAAGAATTTCTTCTGGTTTATCTAGTGCTGTTCTGCTAGGTTCACTCACTGCCTAAATACAAATGCTACCAACAGATTAATGTAATCCTGTTTGTTATTTAAGTGCTTTGAGACGTTCTCCCAATGTGAAAGATGCTATATAAATGTCTTGTATTACTGCTATTCATTACACATCTATCAATGAGGCATCAAGATACAGAACCGGCAACGCCTGGCTTTGTTTTAACAAGATAGTTTGTTTTTTAGCACGTCCATTACATTTCTAATTTTCTTCCCTTTGGCAAATGCATCAGTTTCTGGTTCCCAGTCTCACAATGACGTGCAGTGCCACTATTACCTGTTGATTTTTCTGGGTTTGGATCAAAGTTTAGCCATTCGATACACAGCGGATATGCAGGCAAGATAATATCATGATGTATGTAGAGAGACTGTTCCTCCCGATTATGAACTGCAAACACAAAAATTGGGTACATGTCAAAACATGAATGTCATCATTGGGAAATTTGACTCACTGTAACCAAAATTGTTCCAGTCCATTCTGACGCTGTTATATAGCAATTCTGAAGCATCTGTCTACTAATTTTTCTCCTCCATTTTCCCCGTGCATCTCCTCTCCTTGAATGTGTTTGACTTCTTATTCCCCTGTACTGACTAATGTACAGAAGTGCAGAATACAGTTAAATGTACTTTAAATCTACTTCAACTTCTTAGTGTTACGTGGCAATGTAGTTGAAGTAATTATATTTAATTGTATTCTTTCACTCTGCGGCAAATTCAAATGTTATCATTACACTCCACATTCTGTCTTGTCAAGTATATAATTCTCATTACATCTCCTTGTATAACAATTTCAATATGGTGTGTCACATACCCACACACACACACACACCACACAAAAGCAGATCCACATACACCCGACCGCTCACTAGTTTCAACGACAACAACTTTCCACCAAACAAACCTGTCCTATCAGAGCTTCCCAAGCTAGAGACATTGGTGTCCTGTGTACTGGCAGCTTTTTAAAAAAGAAAACTTTAGTAGCTTCTGGCAACGGGTACGTACATCAATGCTTACAGGCAACCTCACTTATTCTAATACTGGCAACTCTAAGTTACCCTAATCAGAGGCACAATGACCAAAAGATGCAATGAAACAAAGGCAACGATGAAACTTTTACAATGGTTGTTCCGACAACATAACCTGGAAGATTGCTGGGTGCAAATTGCCTACCCATTTGCATACAAAAATAGTCGCTATTCTTTACAGTAGATCCCGTGAAGCACTTTAAGATGTCCTCCTGAACTGAAACCAAATGCAAGGATTACTGTTTCTTGTTATTATAGTAATTATCATAACTCTATAATATAATAAAATATTTAGGAAGCACTTGACTGTGAATACCATGCAAATCTCACCATGTATTTCCAAGCTGCAGCAATCTTTATCTGCCCTGCCTACTACGATCAGATTGTCAGTGGATTTGATTTGGAAATCTTCATCTTCGTACTGGTCCTGCAACAAAAAAGGGCTCAGTTTACATCTCCCACAGTGTCACACTGCAATTTAGAATTTGAGAGGCTATCAGTACATTAAAGCACCAAATACCGAAAGTATGTAAATTATTTTAACATCACCTCTCACCAGGAGAAGCCCCCCACTGCGCCCTAACCTCAACCCCCCCCCCCCCCCCCCCCCCCCCCCACCACGCCCACAAACCCCCCCCAGCACAGCCTGGATCTGACACTACGGGCGCGGACGTGTGTACGTGTGGGCGCGGATTTACTGCACTGAAGCTGTGTGACAGCGTTGGAGTTTGAGAGGCATTACACCCCAATTCCTATCCCTCCCTCCCTCTCTCTCTCTCTCTCTCTCACACACGCTCACACTCTCTCTCACACACTCACACTCTCACACACACGCTCACACTCTCACACACACTCTATTTCTCACACGCAGCCTGTCACGTACACACACACACACACGCACACCATCTCTCACGCTCTCGTCCTCTCTTTCTCACCCAATCGCTCTCATTGTGGAGTCCTGTAGCTCAGTGGTTAGAGCGCTCGCTTTGCAGGTGAGAGACCTGAGTTCAATTCCAGGCAGAGGGCGAAACCTTGGGCAAGTTTCCTTACTCCACACAGTGCCTAATAATAATCCCTCCTGAACTCAAAACAATACTAAATTGGTCATTTTCAATCTACGACTGCTTGTGGGACAAAGCAGTGCTCAATTGGCTGCCGCGTTCGCCCACTGAGCTACAGGACTCCATACAGTGTGTTCTGTGAAGCGCTTTGGGACGTCCTCCCGACGTGAAAAGCGCTATATCAAATGCAAGGATTATTATTATTATTACCAAGAACACAATTTGAAACAATCAACACAAAAATAGTAGCCAATCTGCTTAAATACACAAGCTACAACAGTGTAGAATTTACTGAAACAGTAAAAACTCACTGTATTTTTTAGAGTGACGTAAGGATCATCCTCATTACTAGCGTAGACTGCGAGTCCTCCCAAGGAGTCACCAAGGTTGATACCACCTACACAGAAAAAAATAGTATTTAAACAATATTTCTCAAAGATAAAATGACAGGCCTGAAGTTGGCACAGATTAGCAGAATGTACAAAATGATCTGTTTGTTTTTGGTCAGCCGGCTGTCTGACACATGCAGAAACCCATCACCATGTTTAAGAGTATCCAAACTAAACTGAGAATTCCATGTATTTCACCTACACATGAAGATTCCTTAAAAGATAACAGTTGCTCTCACCTTCTTCCTCATCATAGTTTTCCAGATCATAATCTGCTAAATCATTGTCATCTTGCTGTTCATTGCTATTCTCCTCTTCTGCTTCTTTGTGCTTTGACTCGGAGTCAGGATCATGTACATGTTCCATTGCCTCCTCACCATCAGCTCCGAGCTCCTCTTCATCCTCCTGATCTCTAAAAAGTAATGTTCATTATACATTAATTGTCTACTGTGCGCACCTCCTATTGAACAAGGCTATTGTTCTGCAACTCCTAAGCTACCAGATCCAAAATCTTAGCAAATAAACTGCGTTCAATTTATTTCTTTCAATATTTTAGCAAAGGAACTTTTTACAGCAGTGAAGGGAAATAAGCAAAAACTTACTCAATCGCCTCTTTTGTACTGTTGATCAAATGTTGCAGCTCCTCCTTGTTAATTTTGACCTAAAATGAAGAATAAATCTGCTTATGATCGTAAAACTCACTGAGGATCTCTTTCAGTCTCAATTCAATACCAATGCAACTTTTAAAATTAAGACACTCCCAAATTTCATCTGAGTCTAACGTTCAGCAATTCACAGTACAGTATGTTTGGTGTTTTCAATCTATAAATGTCTACTCCGTCTGTCAGTAGGTGGGTGATGCTCAGTAAGTTGGGTGGAGAGGTGAACGGAGGAGTACAGTTGGAGACCTGAGAGATGAGACAATGCTGGTGTGTGAAGGGATTTATAGGTCAGAGTGACAACCCTGAAATCTATCTGCTAGGAGGCAGCAGAGCCTGGTAAGGGCTGGGGTAATGAACGTGCAGGATTTGGTGCGACGAGGATGTAGGCAACAGAGTTTCAGATAAGTTGAAGTTCATGGATGGCTGAGACCAGCGAGAAGGAAATCTGAAAAGTCCAGTTGGGTTCAGGTGAAATATAATTTTGCATTTTACGGCACTTATTTCTGCGCCGTGTCCTGTGATGGCAGGTGACCCCAATGGAGTCCTGTTGCTCAGTGGTTAGAGCACTCGCCTCGCAAGCGAGCGACCTGGGTTCGATTCCCGGACAGGGCGAAACCTTGGGCAAGTTTCCTTACTCCACACACACAGCCTGATAATAATCCCTCAAGAAAAAGAAACAATAATAAATTGGGTCACTTCAAACCACGCGCCTGTTTGTGGGGACGCTGCTGTACGCAATCGGCTGCCGGGTTTCGCCCACAAAATATACAGTCAATTCACTTTGCAGTCTATTCCGTGAAGCGCTTTGAGACGTTTCAACAACGTGATAATAATAATAATCCTTATAGCGCCGGTGAAACATCTCAAAGCACTTCACTGAATATACTGCTCTGTGTATTTTGTGGCGTTTATCAAATGCAGATTATTATTATTATTACTACACTATTGAGCACAAACTGCACACAGACTGACGAGGGTCAGGAGCCCGACAGCTGACCTGAGCAATGCTGATGACCCCCTCCCCCATCCCTCTCTCACCCCCCCCCCTCACCCCCTCCCCCATCCCTGAACCCCTCCCCCATTCCTCACCCCCTCCCCCATCCCTGACCCCCTATTATTATTATCCCTCCCCCCCCTCTCTCCCTCCCCCCTCCCTCCCTCTCCCTCCCCCCCCTCACCTTCTCTGGCAGCTCTCTGGCCGCTCCCCGAGCCACCCAGGCCACACAGGTGATCTGACTGCTCATCCTCAGCACCAGGGCCGCGCGCCGCGGGGTCTCCGTCTCGCGCACTCGGGGCTGAGGCTGTGCGGGTCCTCGCTTACCGCGCGGCTCCTGAGATCGAGCGGCTTTAGTCGCCCCGCTCAGTGCCCGCCTCCGAGCCGCGCACACTCCCCCCCCCCACCTCCCTCCAGCCCACTTTTTTTCTTTTGTGTTTTGTTTCCGTCGTTCGCCTCGGCCCCCTGTTGCGAATGCGGCAACAACAACGCCAATAGTAATAATAATAAGGATAATAATTTTAAAAATTCTGCTCAGATATATCAGGCGTTTGCTGGGCACCTAAATCCGGGTGGGGGGGGTCCTTGGCTTGTCATCTGTATGGAATAACACGTGGCTCAGAGCAGGCGGGGTCACGTGGACCGCACGTGACTGCAGTGTGACAATGGACCACATGGACCACACGTGACTGCAGTGTAACAATGGACCACACGTGACTGCAGTGTAACAATGGACCATATGGACCACACGTGACTGCAGTGTAACAATGGACCACATGGACCACACGTGACTGCAGTGTGACAATGGACCACATGTCACTGTGGCTCACAGTCTCGCACTGTGTTACAGTGGATTTAAGGTCTCACTTTATATTCTTATGGGTTCGCTACAGAACTTCTTCACGTTACCCTTCCGTCAAGTTTTCGCCCACGAAGTACACGGTCAATTCACTTTACGGTATCGTCACCATCACCATCATCATCATCATCATCATCACCATCATCATCATCATCGTGATATTCATTATAATATGAATTTTGATAATATTAATGATCGTTGAGTTTGACATTCGAGACGTCTCAAAGGGCTTCACGGAATATGCCGTCAAGTGAATTGACTGGATATTTTGTGGGCGAAACGCGGCAGCCAATGGCGCACAGCAGCGTCCCACAAACGGTCGTGGATTGAAGTGACCAATTTTTATTATTGTTTTCTTGAGGGATTATCATCAGGCGTGTGGAGCAAGGAAACTTGCCCAAGGTTTGGCCCTGCCGGGAATCGAACACAGGTCTCTCGCTTGTGATGCGAGCGCTCTAACCACTGAGCTACAGGACTCCACGAAATAATAATATAATAATAATAATATAATTCTTGCATTTGATGCAGCGCCTCATCACATTGTTGACGCGTCTCAAAGCGCTTCGCAGAATGTACAGTCTATTCACTTGACAGTATATTCTGCAAAGCTCTTTGAGACGCCTTGAAGACGTGAGAAGGCGCTGTTATCAGATGTAAGGATTATTATTATGATTATTACATTTAAAATCCTAACAGAATCACATGAATGTTACAGCATGGAAACAGGCCATTCGGCCCAACTAGTCTATGCTGGTGTTTACACGCCACGTAACCCCCCACCCCTCTTTAACACCCCTTTATCTTATCCCTATATTTACTTCTCCCTCATGTGCATCGAGTATCCTTTTAAATATGCTTTTGCTTCAACCACAGCTTTTGGCAGTGAGTTCCAAATTTTTTCCACGCTCTGCATGCAGTGTTGTTGTCAAAATGCCACAAATATATGAAAAATATAGGATACGTTTATTACGTATATACACATCAAATTAATTTCTCCCTCATTTCCAGATATTTCGTCATACGATGTGCACAAATCGTGTACTTATTGTACATAACTGAGTAGTTCAATACTTGGTTCTAGGTTTGAACCCGGCCTTGATAGGAAGAATAAATCAGTCACAAAGGGAGCAGAGGTTTGAGTTTTAATTACTATAATGTGGTAACGGCTTGTTTAAATATTACTGCGTAGATTCAGTAATAGGAGAATATCATGCGACATGATACCAGCATATACGATTAGATCACAAGTCATTCAAAAATGTTAAAAGACACAATATAGTTGCATAGTTGTATTATGCCACTTGATGGCGCACTGGAAATGAAAATGTTAACGGGAGAATTGTAGGTTAAACAAACTATAAGGTTACCAGTAGCTGAGACAGTTTAAGGATTACAAATAATTATTTAAGATTACTACTTTCCCAGAGACTTGTTGGGCTTCTCTGATGAGCTGGTAACGTGAGGCACCACTTGATCATATGGACAACATATAAAGTTAAGGTTTGTGGCTTGTTCTGTGCTGCGTTAGTTGATAATAATAATAATATCTTCGCATTGGCAACTCTCGGGGTGCTCTTGGATTATGGATGCGCTGCATCAAATGCAAGAATTATATTATTATTACAATTATTATATTATTTTGTCCTTATAATTCCTTCAAATAATAATCATAAATTGGTCACTCAATCAATCCACGCCTGTTTGTGGGACACTACTGTGCCCTATTGGCTGCCGCATTTCACCCACAAAATATATAGTCAATTCACTTTACAGTATATTCTGTGAAACGCTTTGGGACATCTCAAAGATGTGATAAGGCGTTATAACTCTCGCCCGACCCGCCCTACCATCGGTGGCCGGGCTTTCAGCCTCTCTGCCCCCACACTCTGGAACTCCATCCCACGGTCCCTTGGCCTCGCTGCCTCCCTCGCCTCCTTCAAGGCCGATCTCAAGACCCTTCTCTTCGATCATGCCTTCGGTCACCCTCCCACCTCTCTGCCTTCCCTCACCCCTACACCACCACCCCTCCCCCATGCTCAGGCCCCGACACCTGACTGTTCAGCGCTTTGGGACGTCCTCCCGACATGAAAGGTGCTCTGTAAATGTAATTTTGTTATTGTTGTTGTATATCAAATGCAAGGATTATTATTATTATTATTATTATTATTATTATTATCTGTCCTGGACTATTTCAAAACAGTTATTTGTTTAAATGTTATAGTTTAATAGTGACAGTTTTCTGATTATCCAGAAAGAGCACATTCAAAATAACATAAATATGAAATATTACACTCATTCTTTTGACATGAAATCTTTTTTTCCCCCAAATAATATCGGGGTAATATGGTATATCACACCATTTTCGCACCAAGGTTCCAACTCAAGCACAGTTGAGGATTTGCACATTACAATTACAATATAACACAACACAATACAAAATTACATTTATATAGTGTCTTTCGCGTTGAGAGGACGTCCCAAGGTGCTTGACATTAATGACACAATCGACTCAGAACAAACCAGGGATTCAGCCTGGGATCTTTACTGTCTGTTTGGCTCGACTACTAACTGGATGAGTAACAATGTGAAGATGTAAGTAACGCTGAAACTCATCACATTGCTTGTGTACATGTAGATGTCATTGAAGAAAAGGAAGCATGACTTTTTCTCCTGAAACACAGCTGACAGATGTCAGTACAATAATTTTATCTCTCTTTTTATTGACTTTCGTTTCCTCTCCCCCGATGGCAATTAGTCATTTTAAGCATCTGAATGCTCTGCCTGTCTTGACTACAAGCGGGGACAGATTTTACAAGCAGGACTGATTTTAACAAGACAGAAGCGTATGTTTCCCAGAACTATTACTACTTGTATGATTTACGATGCATCATTTACATTTCTGGAGAGAATATCCAAAATCTGCGATGGAAAAGCGTAGCTTCTTGAAGTGGGAAAAATTATTTTGATATAAACAAGTCTTAAAATAGAAAAATAAAAATCAACTGGAGTCCTGTAGCTCAGTGGTTAGAGCACTTGCTTTGCAAGCGAGAGACCTGAGTTCAATTCCAGGCAGAGGGCGAAACCTTGGGCAAGTTTCCTTACTCCACACAGAGCCTAATAATAATCCTCCAAAACCAAAAACAATAATAAATTGGTCATTTTCAATCTACGACTGTTTGTGGGACATTGCTGTGCGCAATTGGCTGCCGCGTTCGCCCACAAATATACAGTCAATTCACTTTACAGTGTGTTCTGTGAAGCGCTTTGGGACGTCCTCCCGACGTGAAAAGCGCTATATCAAATGCAAGGATTATTATTATTATTACTGAGAGGAATAGCCCTTTCCATCCTGAAATGGTTCCCAATGAACAGAGTATGGCTGATCCTTGCTTAAGTGTTATCATGTCAGGAAAGGAGCATTGATAGAATAACAATGCATTTTATAATAATAATAATAACTGCATTTGATATAGCGCCTTATCACAACATTGAGATGTTTCATTTTTTTCAATATAATTTCAATCTATGCCTGCAATTGTAGAAATGATCATCAGGTGTATGATTTAAATTACACTCCATGTGCTTAGCTTAAAGACGTGATGACATTTCTCGAAACGAACCTTGATTTACTGAATACTTTGGTTTTACCCAACACACCGACATTTGTTTCCTGATGAAAAGGTTTGTGTGCTTTCTTTCAAAAGCCTTTTCTTGACTCGTCCTATTCTTCACATACACTTTTTCTGTTTGCTGGAGTGACTGAGTGAAGACTGGTTCTAGCCATTAATAGAACTTGCCCAAAGCACAACCTGCTCCTCAGTTTGTCTGAAGTCCTGGTGCCTTGTGATGAGGGAGCCTTTTAACTATATTAGTTACCTCCTGGCAATTGCTCCATTGACATTTTGACCTGAATTGGCGATTAGTTTTACTTTATTGTGGATCCACGTCATCACTTTGAAGAACAGCAGGATTTGCCTGTAGCTGAGCTGGACTATAACTAATCTGTGAACATCAAATAGGGTTAGAACTTTGGCAATTGTGCAAACATTCAAATTGATTTAATAGAGACAGCTGCTCCTAAAACGGTATGATCAGCAACATTTGATAGAAAATAAGAATTAAACAGGAATGAATATTCACAATAGCTGAATTGTTTACTGCAGAAACATGGGAAATTCTTAGCATTGAGGCATTCTTTTTTAAATAATACTTTTATGAACTTAAATGCTTTGCCAAGGTTTATAATATTGCAATGTCATACTTTTTTTATTCAATTGAATTATACATGAAACTGATTTTAAATTCAACCTCCATATGTTGCTTGTTTGTTCAATATTTCGAGAGACTACATAGGTAAAATGTACAGTTAGCATTTAATTACCAAAGAAGAAATATTTTACAATGATCTATTAAAAACCTTGCATTTGATATGGAGGGAGAATGTCTCAAAATGCTTTGCAGGTACTGTAAAGTGTAACAACTGTGTATTTTGTAGGCAAATGCAGCAAACTCTCGCCTCTGAGTCAGAAAGTTGTGGGTTCAAGCCCCACGTCGAGGCTTGGAATCTAAGTCTAAGATGATACTCCAATGCGGTGTTGGGGGAGTGTTGCATTGTCAGAGGTGCTGTCCTTCGGATATGTTAAAACAAGGTCCTGTCTATTCTGTCACTCATTGTCATTCACTCCAGGGCTCTTTGTGGGATAACTGATTGCCATATTTCGCCCACAAAATAGTCACAGTATATCCTGTGAAGCGCTTTGAGATGTCTCAATGATGTGATAAGATGCTATATCAAGAAGGATTATTATTAATATAGTTTCTTTGCACACAGGAGTGCCCCACAAACAGCCATGAAGTAAATGACCAATTTGATTTGGGGAATTTTGGGGGCAGGATACTGGGAGAAACCCCCTTTGCTTTTGAAATAGTGCCAAGGGATCTTTAATGTCCACCTGAAGAGGTAGACAGTTTAACCTCCAAAGGACAGACCTTTATCAGGGCAGCAAACCCGCAACACTGCATTGGAGTGTTAACCTAGACTGCGAGTTCATAGTCTTGATATGGAACTTTGTCAAAAGCCTTTTGGAAGTCCAGGTAAAAAAGTCTATGAGATTGAACAGACAAGATCTGCCCCTTGCTCCCATTTGTATATTTATGCAGCGTTGTGTTCGTGTGCCAGGTTTCGGTGTCGATGCTCTGTGAACAAAATGTTCTTGTCTTTATTTTCCCTCAAAGGGACATTTTCATAGCAATATAAATAATGATTTGTTTCCCTTCCTTCCTGCAGCAGCTGGTGTTTGTCCCCTGACCAGAAATGACCTGCTGTTAAAAGATGTTCTTGTTGCCTTTGACGTGAGCTTTCACTTGGCAGCTGTGGCTGTTTCCTTGGTGTAATTGACCGGAGTTTGACGTAAATCCTGGTGCAGAAACAACTAATCTAATCTACAGCATCAACCTGAGCAGATCAGGCTGAGCAAAGATCTGTCATATATACCAAATTTTAGCAAAACGGTGGGTTAAATAAGGAAACGATAGGTAGCCTTCATGACTAGTCTCAATTAGATCATGGCATTTTAAATGTATTTAACATAACACATTCATTGGACAATATTCCAGAAAATAGTGATGTTTCGATTATCATTTAGGCAAATACCAAGACAGACATTGACTGATTGATATCTGGTTCACAAGAAATAATTGTTAACATCTGCCTTTTCCTGTGAATTTGGTAAATATAGTTACAGAGATGCAGACAGACACGGGACAGGCGGTGACGGTTACCAGATTTTATGCTTTGTTACAGTAACAATATCAATATGAAAATCTCCCCTATGTGTGTGGTGTTCAACCAGGCTAAACCACTACATAAATTAAGTGTTTAACTAGGTTGTAGCTGCAGTGCTTTCATGCAATTGGGATTGACATGGATCTGTGCTTTGCTTCCTGATTATTGACCATGTGTCCTATTTTAATGGGGAATTGACTGGACTCATTTAAAAATCAGCTTGATGTTGTGATGAAACGTCTGGCAGGTATTCTGGATAAATGAGATCAAATGGGATGAAGGACTTCCTTCATCCAAACCAATCTTGTGATCTATGTTTAACACATTCATCGATTAAAGCTTTTTGATTTAGAAGTTTTAAGAATCTCTCTTATTATCATTGGGAATTATCTCCTATTTGTGGCTGGCTCTTCTAGGTGAAAAGGTATTTTTTTTAAAAAAAGTAAAACAATCACCTGTAACATTGAAATCACTCAAAATATTTTCCAGGTAATTGATGTAAAGCTTAGTGACTATATTTATAGGCACAGCAGCAGCCGATCTGTTCATAATAATATCTCTTAAGCAGCCAGAAAGTGAATGACCAATTTATCTGGAGGATTGTTGGCCATGACACCAGGAATTAAAAACTACCTTCTCTTTTCAAAGTGTCATGGTTAAAATCTACCTGAAAAGGGCCTTGATTTCATATCTTCCAAAGGACATAAGCTCTGGCAATATAGTTCTCCTCCAATACTGCAATGGAGTGTCAACCTAGACTACGAACTCAAAGTCCTACATTCCCACAGAGCTGAAAAAAATCTGTAAAAAATCCCGACATGAACCCATATTGTGATTTTTCTACATATGGTGAGGTCAGAGTGCTACCACTGAGCCAGGTTTTGAGTAAGTATTTTCCTGCACATGATATTTTCATCTATTTTACCTCTAACATTAATTTATAAATGCAATTGTATAGAGCTTCACCAATGTAATTATTTTCATTTGAATGTTAAATGCATCGTGAATGGCATCATTGGAACTTTTGATGTGCTGGGAAGCAACATTGAATAGAAAGAAGAATTCCTTTCCTCATGTTTATTCCATTTCCACTAATAAAACTAAGCAATAAGTAAGGTTGTGTGAATTATGTGAAACTATCATACATCAGTTCTTCAGGAATTTACATTTAAAGATTAAAAACTTAATTTCAAACATTCATGAGTTTATTTGTGAAAATGAGAGCCATTTTGCAAGACATTTTTCACAAATGCATTTAATAAAACAATCTTCAGAATATACTTTGTGTTTTGCAGCCTACCTTTTTCAAGGTCTGACGCTAACATATTACACAATATATATATTTAAATGCATGTTATGATTCTCCCAGCAAGTTTGATAAAATTCACTCAAACATAGATAAGACTGTCTGAAGAAGGCAGAGTGTGCTGGGAAACCCTAGAGGCATCTGCATTCCCCCATCAGTACCTGGGGAGTATTACTTTATTAAATTGAACCAATATAATTGTTGAAAATACAATTGCAATTGTTTATACATAGTTCACAATAGATAAAAACAATCAAATTGCAGGCAATACTTTTAAAGAGAAGCATATTATTTTCAAAGGGATATTCTCATCTAAGTGATCGCTATTGCAAGCTATTTTAACACCTTAACAAAGATTTAAATACCTGGTATCAGTGCAAATTCATGTATGTGCTCACATACCCGAAGCAATCTTCATTTTCAGAGATGAAACAAACAAGCTAGTACAGGAGTTTTGATTCAGAAATAATGGTATACGCAGAACCGTAAATATATACAATATTTTACAAAACACACAAATTTAGGTAATCTTTTACCATGCTGTCAAAAATAAAACAATTTAGATTTACACGATACACCATTTAAATACCATTTCTATCTAGATAATGGGAAATACACCAGTTTGGTTCCACGCAGCTCAACTATAACACATTAAACGTGCTGGGCCATTACTTGGTTTATTCTGAAAAAAATCTATTAAAACTCTAATTAGAATCTTTTCATATAAAATATAGTTTAATGTTGACAGAGATAGTTTACAATATACATGAATTGTGTTTTCTTTGTCCCATTCCATCTCATTCAACTTGTTTCGTCTCACCCTCTTGATGAAAAACCTTATGTAAAGTAAAATATTTTGATGATAAAAAGTTCAGCTTATATTTGATGATTTAAAGTGAATCTCTAACTACTTATACATAATTAGCTAAATATTCAAATTGCTCTCTAATTCACTGACAGAAGCAAGAGGGGGTATTATTTATTTTTCAAATAATGTTTTTTTGTATTTATTTCAACAGTAACTCAATCTATATGATTTATAAAGAAAAGTAACTTTTAAAATAGTTCAGGATTTCCCAAACACATAGTATTGAAAGAGAAGCACAGATTGTTAACCTTATGTATGTTGGAACTTTCATTTTTGATTTATGTATAAGACTAATTAATTTCCTAATGTATTGATTATTATTTTGCCTGGGAAATTACATATACAGTACTTGTAAAATGTCAAAAGGTGCTTCTTTTAGATTAAATAGGTAAGTCGTAATCAGTAAGAGGAAATCTATTACATTTGTTTTATAGCTATAACTGCTATTTATTCCATTAACTACTGTTAGTTATTTCATCAACAGGTGTGTTGCACATTGCAATTTATACCCAATATCACTACTAGGAAATCACCCTTCAAATTCTGCTTCAGCTAAAATTACGGAGCACATTTTTGTGAGCTCAATTTTGTTTTGTTTTACATTATCTAAACAAAACAGAATTAGGCATCATTAAAGGTTAGAAAATCATTAGTGATGATGTGTGAATCACAATTGTGTAGTCTTACACGGTATCAGAATCACAGATAAGATATACATATTAGTAGTTGCCTATAAAAATATTCACATCATACAGTACTAAAACTGTAACAATTGCAATCTAACGCAAAACTACAGCAAACTTTATCCTGAACTCAAGTAGAATTGAAGCTAGCATAATACAATTCTCTATGTAAAGTTGTGGCTGACTATAGATCTGTTCTGTTTAATAACTACCCCACATTTCTGATGTGTTAAGGGGAAGAATAGCTGCAGGGAATCAACACATAATAGATGGCCTTCTCTCCCACATTGGTACGTTTTTTGTGTTAAAAAAATCCAACAATGCCTAAACACTTGTCTCCAATCAAGTACATTTGTTTTGAATCTCAAAAAACAGTGCAAAAGTAGGATTTCATTACACTACATTGAGAGGGGAAATTGCCAAACTATGTACGGAACATATAGGTTCAGTTAATGTATTAGACAAGGCTTTTTTTTGGTCTCTAACCTGGTAAACTCAATTTTATAAAATTTGTACTGATATAAAGCCTTTCACATAGGATGGATGTCTTCAAGATTTGACATTGCTAAACATTATAACATTATCCATCTTATGACATGTTACTGTGCCAGATGGACTCACTTGAAAGAAAAGTGCCACCACAAAACATTTAACACAGTGAGCTGGTTTATGAAGCCGTCATCAACCTCCTTCAGCTACTGAGATGAAAATACATTCTATAATTACATAATTTCATGAGTTTTGTCATATTTACATATATTAACTTCTTTTCACAATCTATAGTAAAGACTAAACTTTAAAACTATCAACATGTTCTAATGTACTTGACATTATATTGCGATGCTAAATAATTTAGTGAAATAAACAGCCAATTGTCCTGACAGAAATCATCTTATAAGTTTCCACTATTCCTATCTGGTGCCAAAGCTTCCGAGCAATGCAAGATATTTTGTGGCTACACTTATTTATAGCTTCACGGTAGCCAGAGAAAAGGTAAATTATCTTTTGAGTCTTATTAAATAGTATATTTTATGGGACAACCACAACCTTGCTGAATTATCATATGGATCTATGAGTTTCTATAACATAACAATAATTGTACCAAAGGGTTATAAAAATAGAGTCAGGTAAGATCCTATGGTGATACTGTAATTTCACGAAGAAATTAAAGCCTTACAGAGTACAGCTCTCTGTTTCACACTTCAGAACACCACCCTTCACATTTCCAATCCAGCTCAGCACAAACCCAGGGAACACTTCCTCCACTAGCAAAGGTTACAAGTGGCATAAATATCCTCAAAAAAATTAATCAATCAATCCCAAAATCAGTGTCTCAGGTAGCAGACTCAGCTCTGAGAAGAATGAAGAATTTAAGAATGAGAATATGAAATCAAAACTGCTTTGCTTGTGCAAATAATTAATATTAAACTTGACTTGAGAGTCGAGAGTCAAGACTCAAGCTAATGCAGTCTCTGGTTGTAAGTAACAAAAGACTTCATTCCTCTGATTGTCAATCTCCCACTTTGGTCACTTCAAACATTCCAAAAAGCACAATATTTGAACAATTCAAACAGCTTCTTTTTGGTAAAACATAGTAACCATCACGTTGATTACTAAACCTGCATATTTCTCATCTCTCCTACTTGTTCATTGAGCATGACTCCAAGATTCACATTCAAGCACAGCCTTACAGGGTTTAGTCTCAGTGAATGTCAGCATGCAACAGATGCAAATAAATACCAGATTTCACTCCTGCAGACAGTGTTTGTACAGGTAACCTTTCACAATAAACAAAGGAAATACAGACAGAGAGCTGCTCTGAACCAACCATAGCACCAAACCAGATGTTTTAGGACCCATTTTTCTCATGGAGTTTATTCACTTTGCTTTGATACATCATAAATCCAAATGACCTGATCTGGGAATTCAAAAAACTTGCGCAACAAGTCTGACCTGAATAAAACGTAGTCCACTGGGCTTGGAATAGAAACACATTTTCCCTGTCTGCTTCTCACAAGATAACATAGAAATACAACAACAACTTGCATTTATATAGCGTTCTTCATATGGGGTAGCGTCCTGGAGCTCTTGACAACTTAGGAGGCCATTCGGCCCGTTAGCCTAAGGTGGTGGGTGCTCATGCATTGGAGCTGGCTGCTCTAGCCCCATCTATATCCATCTTATGTTTCTTATGAAAGTGCTATTAATTTTTAAAACTGGTTTGCTGCCTGGAAAATAATGGCAGTTCTTAAACAAGCGGCTCTACTGTTCAGCTGTTACATGTCTGCCTCATTTATACAATTGAACCCTTTGAAGCTGACAGATGTATTGATTGAATTCTTTCTGCCAGTGTTTTCTCTAAATCTTGCAGCACATTGAGGCCTTGTGATTCCTCATTGGAGTCATACAGTAGTTGTTTAAAAGCTTCATTTTCCATCAGAGCGACCATGTTCTTCAGGAAATAGCCTTCACAGTAGGAGGACAGCTCATGGGCACCAAGCAGCTAAAGGGAAATAAATGAGATTGTCAGAAAAAGCGATTTCCTCCTGACAATACAACAGATAAAATGACGCTCATCCAGAGAAGCCCATGGACATTTTCTCACATTTTCCTGTCATTGTGAAAACAAACAAAAGAAAACAAATATATCTAAAAAACACAGATTGACACCAGAGAGCAAAGGTTACATGAAGCGTTCAGCTTGGACTTGTGCTTTCATGACACATTAATAGCTTTGTTTTTCCAAACATAATAAGACAGTTGAGATGGAAAAAAGTCAAAGCTCATTTGATCTCATCCTTCCAGAATACCAACCACTCCTTCCCATTACAGCATCACGCTGATTTCTAAACAAATCTAGTGACCTGGGATCTACCACCCTCTTGTGTAAAGAAATACTTTCTGGTGTTTGTCCTAAATTGCCCTTCAACATTTTGAACCTATGACCTCTTGTCCAATTATATTTTATTTCTTTTACTAAACAAGAATCAGCTTGACTTCTTTAAACGTATTTCAATTATACAGAATTTAGATCTTATCTTCACTTAGACAACTGGATCTATCTGAATGCCACACTCATTGATTTCATGGTGTTTACATTTTTCAGACACATCTCTGTGTTGAGCAAAACCAGGCAGTAAACAGAGACTTGGTTCTGACCTTGGTGTGATTATACATGTCCACACTGTTCTCCAAGTTGAGGTTTTTTGCACACACCACCTCACAGTGCCGCTGTAGTGCTTCAAGTTGGAAAAATTTAGCAGCCGACAACAGCTATAAAATAAGATAAATTGCAATCATTATGATTTCCAAAGTCCAGTCAGGTTATGTAGCATTGTAGATCTGACAAAGTAATTACGCATTATTACAACACATTTATGAGACAGTTTTACAAACTTTAGTTTGCTTTCAAGTCACATTAGGCCCAAAATTACATTCTGGACTGAATTGGTAACAGTATTTTATCTTAAAATTGTAAAATTGTGAAACATCTTAAATTCAGTATTAATCCACATTGTGGATCTCCACCACATTGGCAAGACCTGAAGGAGATGTCACCATATAACCTGCTGTCTTTTATGCCCTCTGCACACTATCTCTCTCTCTTTCAGTCAGGTTATGACCCCCCAGGCTCCTGGTAATTGGCTGAGAAGAGGCAGAGGACTGCAGGCCAGTACTGTTTATGTCTCGCTTGAGAGAGAGAGCTGGTATAGAGCCCTCCTGATTACCATCCATGATCTGATGAAACTTGTCCACAGGGAAAATCAATTTGAATATTGCCAAAGATGGGTTTAAATGAATCTTTTGCTTGACAAGTCTATGAGACGCATTAGACTGTTTAATTCACTTTAACATTCGCAAGGTTGTTCATTTAATACATCTGCAAAAATGAGTGGTTGTATATTTTAAAAGCAGGCCGAATGGCTTAATCCTGTTCCCATTACACATATATAATAATCCATTTTATTGCACACAAATTTAACCTACCTCTAATATATCAGTATTTTTAATCTGTAGTTTTTCAGTCCCTCCATAATAAAGGTACTGCATCACCATCTAAAAATAGAATCACAATACAGATTATTCATAATATACATAGTATACATGTTAAAACTTATTAACTATTAATATATTTTAATATTCAAAAGATGAAAACATAATACCTGCTGACATGAAGAAAACAGTCCACTATTCCTCAAAATAAAAACTCATCTCTGACTCCCAGCTCCTAGCCAAAATTATGCTGTTATCCCAAACAAATAATAAAATAACCTCTGTGCTTAATATAGTACATAACATTAAATTGCGTCTCGAAGTGCTTCACTGGCAATTTAGGTTTTTTCTATTATATATACACATGATAAGATGCTCTAAACATTCACGTTTGTTCTTGCTTAGATTCCAAATTTACCTGAAATATATTGTATGTGACATGACTGATTTCAATGCAGGTGTTAGATGCATTCTCAGAAGGTGGTCTGTCTGAAAGCAGCACCTTAAACCTGAAAATAACATAGGCAAACAAACATTAATTATATTCCACGATAGTAAATAATAAGATACAAGATTCCCAGCCAAATTCTCTTTCAATGTAATGCGAAAAAAGAACAAGCTTTCCCACAGGGCTGATTTTCATGGCAGTCTTTATTGATTCCACAATTATGCACAGCCTTAAAATCAGCACACTGCACCCAAAAAAAATTCTACTTTGCCTGCGTTTTAGCTGACCTTCCAGTATTGACATTGTCTAGTATTCACTGTTTTCTATTATAATTATAGGCCAAATACTGCCATTAGCAAACAAAGCTACTCAGAGAAAAAGCAAAAGAAACATTTCACTCTTCAGCATTGAAATTCTTTAACTGGATCATTAAAAAGACGCACTATGTTTTGAGATCTCCCAGCCCCACTCCAGTTTACTCCTTCTATTCTTGACGCACCAATTCTTTGCTGGGGTTTGGTTCTCCAAGTGCTGGCTATCCTCAATTAATTTATTCAAGTGGCCATTCTTTAAGTGTGAGCCCAAACAGAAAGTGTTGGACGGCTAATCATATGTCACAGTCGAGCCCAATCCTGTCCACACTTGACATTTGCACACATAACAGTGGGAGCCACAGATGAAGGATTGAACTCGGCACCAACTGAGCCTGTGTACCTCAGTATCACACTGGGTATGAATTTTCTATTGAGCCATCGGGGAAATGAAACACACGCACAATATGAATAGCATTAAAAAGGAAAGAACCGTACCTCGCAGAAGCTGTAAATAATAATACTTTATGTGCATAAAATGGTTTTCCTTCCACCAGGAATGTGATGTCAGACATTTCCCTGTTGTTCAGAAAGTGGGGATCTGGTAATGACACAAAATTCTAGATTAAACAGTCGTGAATAGAGCAAATGAAAAAAGATCAAAAGTTTTAAAACAAGGAAGGACGTACCCAGCCTGGCGGATTGCTTTTGCTTGATTTCCTTAAGCTTGGGAATTGGATAAGGACCATAGCAGTGAGTGAAAATGACTGCTAACTGCCGACTGATGACTTCATTCTGAAATCAGAGGAATTAAATACAAGATATAAGATACTTATTCTGCAAATGTAGCAACTTTTCCTATACATGCGTGTGACAGAACATGATATTGAATTCTGAGCGGAATTGGCATTCATTCCACCTCAAAACATCAACTCTCAATGAGCTATGTAATCGCAAACAAAATACTAAGAAAAAATGGTTCTTAATTGCCCGGTGTCACAAATGCTACAAGGGTTTGATCAAAGAGTATTACCAGGCAAGCTTACTAAGTGCATTTATTCTGCGCATGCTTTTAAACCTGAAATCCAAATGTCTGTTACATTCAAACCCTTTTTTTTACACATTTCTATTTAGAGATTTTACATTTCCTCATTTCTATGCTCTACACATGCCATAATCAAGTATTGCAGTATTGAATATCATTCTTAGAATAAATTGGACAACCATATTTCATTGAAACGTAAAGTGTTTGTGAAAAATTCGAAGAATCACATCAGACTCAGTGGGGTAATAAATGACTGAGACAGTTACCTGTGTGTCACAAACAAGCATAATAATTACCTTGCTGGCTCTTAAGATTCAAACATTAATGGAAGGCCCTGTGTGAGCAGGTTCTCAGTGTACTCGTCTTCCTTAATTGTACTGAATTCTTTTAACAAACACTGGATAATGGGTCGTCTGTGCTGCTGGAAGGAGGTGCAGAGTGAATCCATCCATGAGTGGAGTGTCCATGGAACGCCTGTGCGATAAAACTGAGATTACACATCTCTATGGCATGGCTTCACTAATCATGAAATGACACTGTGGCAAGTCAATGATTGTAATTCTAAAGCCAGCAATTTCACCTGATCAGCATATCAGCTAGCAACATCTAACAATGAAGTATTACTTAATATGTCACAATTTTTTAAATAATTACATCCTCTACTTGAATTAAACACTTAACTTGGAGATGTACTGCAGCATTAATCAGTTTAAATAAACTTGTTTTTGATCAGGAATTTATTTTTACAGGGTGGTGTTTGTGAAAGGTGCACATACTTTACTTTTTTATAAAAGTAGCAAAACCAAAAATAACATATTAGGTTGGGAACAAAAAATAGATTTATATAAATCGATCCTATATTGAAATAGAAAAAAACTTTGTGATCCCAAAACATTACACTGTTATCAAGTAAGCAATATATTGTACAATATAGTCTTGAGTAAAACGTAGGTAATATCTCAATGTCTTGGGATGTCCTCCTGACATGAAAGGCCTTAGATAAATGTAATGTGTTGTTGTAAATTAAAAAATAAACGGTTTCTATTAGATTAAAATAAAGCGTCTCTGTGACTTTCTATCCTATTGACTCAGAATTTAAAGGGCACTAGGTAGTTCATCTGTGTTATCAAAGTGGTCTATCCATCAGGTTCTTTTACAGAGAAACGCTAGGTAGCAGTCATTACTATGACTGCCTGGCATGAGCACTAATCCCCTCCCCAGAGAGGCTGCCTAACCTCTTCAAATTCTTTCATCTCAATCCTTTGATTTTTTTTAGTTTTCTTCGGTCCTGATATAACAATATTTGTTTTTGCAAAATCGTCGTTGCTTCAGTGCTGTTTGAAAGATTTTACGGTTCAGCAGCAGCAGCAAGATTCCATTTATAAAGCGCCTTTCACGTCAGGAGGACGTCTCAAGGCGCTGCACAGTTGGGTCATGACACGAGCAGGGGGGAAATGGTCAGGGTGAGGGGAGGGAAGGGAGGGAGCGAGGAGGGGGGAAATGGTCAGGGTGAGGGGAGGGTAGGGAGGGAGCGAGGAGGGGGAAGAGAGTCGAGAGGGGAGCTGAAGGCTCGGTCAAAGAGAAAGGTTTTGAGACCGGCCTTGAAGGAGGAAAGGGAGGAAGCGGCGAAGGCACTGGGGGATGGAGTTCCAGAGCCTCGGGGCTGAGAGGCTGAAGGCCCGACCACCGATGGTAGGGCGGTTGGGGCGGGGGACGTGGAGCAGACTGGAGCCAGAGGAACGGAGGGTACGGGCGGGTAGGTAGGGGGATAGTAGGTTGGAGAGGTAGGAGGGAGCAAGACCGTGAATGGCCTTGTAGGTGAGGATGAGGATCTTGAAATCAATCCTCTGGGGGATGGGGAGCCAGTGGAGGTGAGCGAGGGTGGAGTGATGTGGTCCGAAGCCTGGTGCGGGACAGTACACGAGCTGCAGAGTTCTGAATGACCTGCAGCTTGTGGAGGGAGGTGGCGGGAAGGCCGGCGAGGAGAGAGTTCCCGTAGTCCAGCCTTGAGGTGACAAAGGCTCATTACAAATGGAGATTTACTGTTACATATGAAGATAAAACAGAAGAATAGTAAAAACGGATTGAAATCTCCAAAGAAGCATAAAGCGTTTGTTCTTTGAAAAATCAGGATCAAAGCATTAGAAAAAAAATGTTTCTTCCTACTATTGTTTCAGCAAAATTATTGTAAGGAAACTTAACGTATACAACCTAATCGGCATATTTAATTCTCAATGCACTAAAATATTGAGAAAGAGAGAAACTAACCAAGACCCCTGTTGTCAATGGTAATATCCACATATCCGTGCTCTGAGCTGTGGTACATGGCTTCACTTAACGCCTTCAGCTTGGCCTTGCTGTTATGCTTTGAACTTGAATGACACTGTGGATTATCCATTGGATCTGTGCCCTCAGCCAACATCTCCTCTAAGGACAGAATGTCACCCTTTTCTTTCTCAGGCTGTGCCAACAACTTTCGAAACACATTCCTATAAGAAGCAGGAAGACAATCGTGTAAAAATTTCAACAGACAAGAAGTGAAACATGCTCTGACTATGCTCTACAGTTAGTTGGTTATTAGATGGGGCCACTATCAAATAAATCCAGATCTCAATTTGGGAGTTCATTCCCTTCACAAGTTCCCTAGCTCCACCTCAGATTTTCTATGATTTTCTTGACAAAACTTTGTTCCAAAACTAACAGCAGCTTGTAATCATCTTCCAAGGCCAGAAATGAGCCAACTGAGAACACTCAACTAAATGCTAGATGATCTGACTAGGGTAAGTCAGGTTAACACTGTTTGAATTTCTTGGCAACATTATTTACTGTTTCCCAATGTCAATTTATTACTAATTTTAATGGTTTGTTGTTAAAGTACACACGTTGATAACATGAGTTGAATGCTAATACTTTACTTCCAATTTATCAATCATAGGAAATAAATAAATGGTTCCAACTTTGCATCTGAAATTCTAAAATATACATTTTTACAAAGCTTTCCTCCAGCATTTTATTTTTTTCCTTTTTGTGCTTTGTGGATTCCTGTGCTTTGCAGCAAGTTCACCTCAAGAAGCCAGCTGATCCCAGACTTAAGTTGCTCTTTAATTAGGTACTGGGAGGTAAGTGAGATCTGAAGTAATTTTGCCAATCATTTGCCCTTCCAATGGGCTACCTTTTGCTTTGCACTTCCCCACAAATGCCAGAACTGAGACCATTCACTGATGTAGGCAATCAGGAACGCTGCTTTGCATCATTGCAAGATGCACAAAAGGATGATTAACCAGTGATATCCTGCATGTGCCCAAATATGTCTGAAATCCACTTCCCCCAGAACTCTTCTCATATACCAATCTCACGCCTGGTTGTTTGGAAGCTGGACTGTAGCACTTGGCAAACAACTGGTGTCCAAGTGGGTTCTGGAGGGATGGAGGCAGACACATTTGGGTACCCAGAATATGTGCTAGTCATAAATCTATTCTTGAATCTCATAAATGTAGATCCCATTGATATTGAGATGATATGGTTGGTTATCAGTAATATACCAGTAATGGGGCAGAATTCTAGTTCAAGACTCGATTTATTTACCTGTGTCCATGTGCTGCAGCCTGGCTAAAAGAATTCATGTCACCATGTGGAGTAGTTGAGAACCCATTCTTGTGCATCGTTCCAATCATTGGGACAGCGCCTCTTTCCAGCAGCAAAGTAACAAGCTCAAAATTACCTGAAATACATCAAGCATATGTAGTTCAAAAGTCCATTACAGTATAGCTCATTAAATAGTACTTCATCATTGCCCTCAGAAGCTTCTTTCAAATCATACCCTTTTATATTCTGTTCAGTCTGGAATCTACACTTCTTTTTGATACCGTTTTGAACACTTCAATTGACTGTGATTCGGGTGTTATTCTATTATCTCATAGCAATGTCTCAATAATAAATAATCTTTGTATTTGAGTTGGTGGCTTATCACACTGAAACATCTCGAAGCTATGCACAGTTTTCTGTATAGTATAGTGACTGCATTTGTAGCCGAAAACCTTTTTGGCACTTGGCTATAAACAACATATCTTTAACTAACGGATTATTTTAATATTTTAATACGGATTTGTTAACAAACCTGCAAACCATATCAGGGCACATTATAGACATTTGAATGTAATAGTTTATAATTTAGCAGAACTCACCAGCTGCAGAGGCTAGTTGTAGGGTTGTTTCAGAATAATTTTCACCTCCTTGTGAGAGTGAACCTTCTACGTTTGCTCCAGCATCCAGTAGCAGCTGAAAACAACAATTGAGAACATTCTCACTTAGCTATTTAAAAATATCAGTCTAATCATCTAAAACATGTGTTGAGTCAAAGAGCAGAATAATGTTTGAACTTCACAATAGACAACACATTGCCAAAGAGTTGAGTTAATGGGAATACAGAATATTTGAATACTGCATAAATATGACATCAAAATAACTGCAAGCTATTTTCACCATTTAAAGAATAATTCCCTCATGCAGCACACTGATCCTTTTGCTTTATCCCTTCACCTTCAACGCATATTTGTTTCCTTCTATGAAGCTTCAGTCAGACAAGAACATTTGCATATCATATACCGTGAACATTTATATACCATTGAGCAGTAACTGAACCAGTAGATACTTGCTGTTTGGTTACTGATTATTTTTCTTTTAGCGAAAGCAATTTTTTTCATAAAAGATCCTGTGTGCAGAATATTCCTGTTCCAGGTGATATTTGATTTGAGTAGTTTTATAATTGAACATGATATGTTCAGTACCTGAACAACAGCCATGTGGCTGTGTAACACAGCAAACGTGAGCGCTGTCCAGTGTCGGGTCTCTGGGTGGATAGACGGGTATTTGTGGGTAGCGTTGGGAACCTGAAGAACATTGATGAATTTGTTAGAAAATCGGTGAATAAATAGATCTACAAAAGCAAAGAGTACCAAAAACCAAAGGTTTTGATTCTAGATGAGTTCTGTTGTACATCACTTCCTGATACTTTGGAAACATCTAGCAGTTTTTGAAGCAAACAGAAACTGTTGCAAACGAAACTAAAGTTCTCTGGCTAAATATAGGTCATGTAATTCTATTCTGGTTTTGTGTGAAGTGCAAACTGTGAAGGCAATAGAACTGGCCTATTTTGCCACAGCATTTTATTTAACAGGTACTGTGTTAACCTCTAAAAGGTCAGATTTGAATGAATCACAAGTGTCAAGCAAGTTTTCACATTGGCATGCACTTGTGGTATTTAAAGACACTGGGGTAGCTGTTATGTTCCATATACAAACCGTGTGGAAATAATTGCATTGTACAGATAGAATTATGAATTAATTAACCATTGATTAAATATTTAACTACAAATGTAAAGATTTATTTTGTAATTAATAACCGATCCTTTTCATTGTTTGTCAATTATAAAATTGAAAAAACAAGTATAGCTGTGAAACACCGAGCGCTGTGTTGATAGCAGGTGCTAACATGCTTTATGTATTGCTTCTTTAAATCTAAACTGTTACCTCCCAATTCAGATCTGCTCCAGCATCCAGCAACATCTGCACCATGGCTTCATCCCCTCGAGCACACGCATACATCAACGGTGTCAACCCCTGCACAGAGCATTCAGATCAAATCTCAGTGTTGAAATATCCTTTACATGATGATTAACACAAAATTAGCCAACAGTCAGCGAGATGTTAATGGCAACTGTACAGTAAATAGTGTCCTTCATATTCTATTGAGTTGTTATAATAATAATCCTTGCATTTGGTATGTTAGCTGAATTATGTAGTAATTTAACCAGTGACTCTTTACGGCTACGGTTTCAAAATTTCCACAAGTTGGAAATATAAAGAATATATAACCAGCGGTGTCTAGCATTTTATCAACAAGTGGTTTTATATTACAATTAAATATGATATTTAAATAGTTCTTTAGCACTACAAGTAGAATGTGGAATAGTTCCTAACCATTCCAAAATGTAGAACTAGTAGAACCGTTCAGTGTTATAACAGGACATTAATTAAAGCTGACACCCGTGAAAAGTGTCGATACACATTCAGTCTTTAATAATACTTTAACAAATAATCTTTTCTTTTGATATGGTATCGTATTTACATACCAGAAGTGTAGATTATTTGAAAAGGTAGCTCTGAATCTTTTTTACATGAATAAAATTATACTGTTTTGTGCTAAACTTTCAAGGCTAATTACTGTACCTGTTCGCTCAGTGTGTTAATGCCATCAGGTCCAAGCAATGCAATGGCTTGTTTAACCAGGTCTGTCCTGCCACAGTTCAGCATGCGGAATCCGAGACCTTGGATAAACTTTGCTTCTGTGGTTGCTGCATCCAGTTTCAAGGAGGCACAGAAACAGTCATCAGCTCTGCAAGAAAAGTGCTGTTTGTTATCTGGTTCTGCCAATGCAAAGCTATTTATCATCCAACATTCATGTGGTAGTTAATTCTGATTAAAACGGGCAAACAAACAAATCGTGATCTAGCCCCTATCATTTTGAAATATCTCAAGCACTTCATAGGGAATTGCTGTCAACTGTAGTTACTGTATTTGTAAGCAAATATTGCACACAGCAATGTCGAACAAACAACAATGAAGTGTGGGACCAATTTGCCTAGAGGATTTCTGGCCAGGATATCATGAGAAATTCTGTTCTCTTTTTTAAACAGAACCATGAGATCTTTAACATCCACCTGAACAGGTAGATGGGACCTCGGTTTAATGTCTCGTCCAAAATATGGCATTTCTGACAGTGCAGTGTTCCCCCAGTATTGCACTGGAGTGTCAGCCGAGAGTAGGCACTCAAAGTTCTACAATCCCACACCGCAGCCCGAAAAATTTAGAAATATTATGGTTTCTTTAATGTTGTGTAACAATTATTATTGATAAATTACAAACAGTGATTTTTCCTGAATTAGATACAAGTGCAACTCAGTATGTAATTAGTCTTATGTGCTACACATAATATTTTTGAAAATGTTTGTAAACTACAAAGTGCAATTCTTAACTATGCAGATGAAAATGAAACCCTGCATCTTGTGAAGGAAATTCAGATGTCAACAGTAGGAAGTTATCTGCTCCATTCAGAGTTGTTACCGTACTTTAATTGCCGCGGTTCACAGTCGACTCCAGGGACCAGGAGGCGTGAAGCTTGTCGGACATCATCACTGTCCACAGAGAAACTTCTGCGATGTTCAGCATGTGCCACAGCCACTCTTATCCATTCCATTAATGGTGGCAATACCAGGAAAGGCCTGTAGATGACATCAAATCATCAGATCAAACACATATCCAGCTTTTTGTATCTGAGAGAATAGAACCAATTAACTTGGTGCTAAATTATCCCGCTAAGCGATAGGAACATAAGAATTTGTGAGGCGAAAGAAGACCAACATCCATCCGGTTTGTCTTCCACCATCCTGGCAGTTGCATGGACCTGTCATGCCCAAACTATATACTGTATCCTGAGAGATTATTGCCTAACAGAAATCTATCTAATTTGTTCTTGAAAGAATCAACATTTTCTGCTTCCACCGTCTCCCTAGGTAAATGTGATTTTATTTGAATTTTTTCACATTTAGGTGTTGCATTATTTTTACTAAACAGAGGTATTTCTTATTACTTATTTCTCCTTACTTTAAAAAGAGATTACGATTCTTTACACAATGGTAACCAATGTGAGCGGTTACTCATTAAAATCTCTTTCAATACCAAACCACTAAAGAGAATTACAATTATTATTTTTAAAAATATATATTAATAGAATTAGACTGGAATAATTACTGACCATTACAATGCGAGAAAGCTGAATAAGCTTCCAGCAATTGCTGGTTGAAGTAGTACAGAATTGGACAAGCAATAGGCCTGACCAGTTCTGACAAATAACTTTTGTTGCATTCTCAGATATCAAACCAATTGGCACCCCAAGCAGAGAACTAGTGAAACTGTTTTCAAAGCAGCGCCAGATCTATTCACAAGACAGATAGGAGACAATAGTTAGGAGAGGATACTTCCAATGCCTGAGCTGCTGAGCCATCAAGGGTCAGTGCTTTGAGAAGTCTCGAAGACGTGATAAAAAAGTATATCAAACGCAAGGAATATTATTATTTGTCTTCACATGACAATATCAATATTTGATCAGATCTCCAGCTCCCAGTTAGATTTAGATTCTACATCAACTCCACGTCACAAATTTTAAACTGGAACCAAGGACTCATAAAGAAAAAAAAGATGCAGAATTGAGGCTCTGTCCCTGAATGTATTCACACCTTGTGTCAAGGTGCTGCTGACATCTAACTCTAATACATTATTTATTGCAGCAATTAAAAATAAGTTTAGCAACAGGCTTGCCACTTCAGACAGCTTGAATTCTTTCTGCCACTTCAGACAGCTTGAATCCTTTCTGTGAAATCTGATTTGAGTACGAAACATCCTTTGAATGTTCACTTTAGCTGCACCTAACACTGCTTCTGCAGATGAGAATTCAATTCTAGATTTATAAGCATGTTACAAGAGATGACTGGAAACGGCTGTCATGAAAGGTTGGACATGTTGGAGAGTTCTCGCTGGAGTTAAGACTATTAAGATGGGACCTAGCATTGATGTATTTAATAGGAAATGTGATGGATACATGAAGGAGAATGGAATAGAGAGTAGGAGAATAGGAGGGATGGGGGGTCATATGGAGTATAAATACTGGCACAGAGTAGTTGGGCCAAATGTACTGTTGGTCATTAAACCTGGTCTTTGACAGCAGATCAAGACAGCAGAACGTTTTGGATTTCGGACCAAATCTTTTGATAGCAAACGATTGATAATCATTAGTTCACCGTGAACAACTTGGGCATCTTAACATAGATGAGTTTTAACACTGCATTAAGCAATCTAGAAACAGAAGGAGGCTATTTAGTCTGTCAAACATGTTCAGTCGACTAAACTAAAATGATGAAAATGATTCAATTAGTGAAATTTTTAATTCATTTCGGCTACTTGTCTACTAAATTTATAAAAAAAGCTTTCTTTGAAATTGATACCTCTCAATGGTAAGGTTGACTCGAGATGGCTCCACGTTGGGATTTTCCCACTCCATTTGTGGACAGTGCATGAAATAGCACAATGTGTACAGTGCCTCAGGCTCCCAGTACAGAGGTCCTTGCTTGTAACGTACAGGGGTACCATTCCCACAGTGTTTAGACTGCAGTGGCTGGAGGTGATGCATTGCACGAGAGACCAGATCACCTGTGCAAAGAAATGAAAAGTACTTTAGTTCAATTTCACACTCTGTATTGGATAAGGTTACATAAAACATTCACTTTACAGTATATTCTGTGCAATGCTTTGAGATGTCTTGAAGACGTGATAAGGCACTATATAAAATTCAAGGATTATTATTATATGATGGAATGAGTAAATCACTTGATTTTTCCACAGTGATATTTGAACTTAACCACTGGCCTCAACAAGTAGGGACTTGCTGGACTGGGTTGGAGATCATGAGTTGGGTTTGCATTCTGTGCTATGTATCATTTCTGCAACTGAAAGGTACTAAAAAAAATCCTTGCTATGGACTGGGAAGGAATCGCCAAACATGTCAAAACATGCTTTCTACAGGTAATTCAGAATTCAGTTTTGCCCATTTTTTAGAAGTTGAAAATTGTGCATTGAGACTTTTAAAAGCCCCAGACCTTGTTCTACAGAACTAAATTGATTGCACTGCAAAGGCGTGGTAAAACACTAAAAAAGAGCTGAAGAAAGCAATCTTCTTTCAACAAAATACAACAACAAATTGAATTTATACAGCGTCCTTCACACGGAGCAGCATCTCAGAGCATTTGTATACTGTTTACTATTCATGGCCAGTATTTATTGCACTTTTTGTGGCGAACCACTGCAAAAGTATAATTTTCGGTTGAGCTGTCTGATCTGAATGCAAACCGTCAAATCCACATTTTCAGAATGCTTTGTGTAAAGAATGTATGACCAGTATGAGATGTACAGCATACCTTTTTCTTTTATTTTATAAATCAGACTGTAATGAGTTAGAATTCTTAAATGCCATTTACTGGAGGACACTTTTATACAAGGAGTTTATTGGCACAGTTGTAAATACTGCATTAGTGTTACTCTTGGGCATCACGGCGTTTTGGTTGGAGATAGCTGTAGCAAGGGGAAGTTAAGTGGGGATGTTCAGATACTCATGTCTTGTGCTAAGTCACTGGATCACTGTTCCACTGGTCCTATGGTGAAGTGCAGGGGTATTTTTGTCTTCCCTCTGTGTCATGCTGGTCTCCCTGTAGGATTTGAACAGAGGTTGGGACGTCCTCTCGACGTGAAAGGTTCTATACAAATGTAATTTTGATGATGTACTTATTCATGGTCCTACAAATGAAGTGAATAAAACATGTTCTCTATCCATATAAATCTCTAAATAAGACCTGAATTCCTGCAGTCACAAAAGGGTTCAGTTTATAAAACTTCATTTTACATCTGCTTCCATTATTGGGGACAGTGGGCTGATGTAATTTAAATATTAGTAATTTCAACAATTGCCTTAATTTTCAAAGGGATTCAACTAGCAAAGATCAACTGCATTCCAGATACCATCTGCTTCAGTCACATGAATATAAACAGTCTTGTTATTTGTACAAGAGCTTGCTATTAACAAATTATATTCTAGAAGTTATTACATTTGACAAAAGAGCAAAAAGACTTTTGATCACATAACTAAAATTACTGTGTACTCCATTGGCTCCTGTTTATGATTTTGCTCATTTGGATGTATTTGTCAGGAGATATTCAATGATTTAATAAACATTATGCTGTGGAAAACATAAAAGGTTGTTGAAATGTATTAAAAGAAGCAAGAGAAGCTTGGGAATAGTATACCCAGCTAATATTTAAATGGAGATGGTATGAGGAACTGCCTTACAAAACTTGGGAGAGAAGCAGGTTAGTAAGTTGTGTTCGCTGTGTTTATGGTCAGTTCCAAGTGATTGGAGAATAACCATAGAGCACTAAAAGTGAGAATATTTACTACTGTGCAGGATAACACCCTTCTCGTTGCCAAAGATCGATGAATGTGCCAAAAAAAATTGGCAAAAAGTACTGGACATGAACATGCATCCCTCACCTACATGACTAACAATTGTCGAAGGTTTCTCATTCGTTTCCACATTGATCTGAACTAACTATAACAATTCAGGTATCAGTCTGACTCAATTGGTAGCACTCTTGCCTTTGAGACAGAAAGTTATGGGGTTGGTAGGGGTCCTAGGAGCTTCTATATTTACAGGCTCTCAGGGAAACAATTGGGCAATTCTTTTTATCTAGCAACACAGTGGTAGTACATGGTGTTCAGTTCATAGTTCCAGAGTTCGAGAGAAGCAGATCTCGAATGTAAGACTGTTTGAAACTTGCTTTAGAATTTGATTCCATGGTTCCTGGTCAGGCCACAAACTGCCCACACCACATTCCAGAAAAAAGACATCATTTGCCAGTATTCCCATCTCTGCAGTTACTCCCATATTCTTCAGGATGCTTGTCAGATCCAGGCTACAGTGTGTGCTGTATTATTTAATGTTCTTTAATAAGGCTTTACTGCTGGTGTCACCTGTATATTTGTTGGATTGATACTGAAGTGCTGTTTGAGCCCCCTATTAAACTTCTGGCTTAAGAATCATTAATTCATGCAGTGCTGCTACCATCATCACAAGATTATCACAATCTTTACAATATTGGTTTGGATGAAGAAGGCCCTTCAGCTCATCTGATTTCATCCTTCCAGAACACCCCCCCCTCCCCATGCCATTCCCCCATAACAGCATCAAGCTGCTTTTTAAATGGATTCAGTGTTCTGGCCACAATCACTTTTCCTGGCAACCTTTCCCAGTTATTGATTACATTGACTGAAGAAACACTTCCTGATTTCTATTCTGGAGAACTATCAGTCTGCATACATCTCTTAGATGTTGGAGAAGTTGGACTACGGAAGAGAATTTTCATTCAGTCCACTGATCCTGTACGTGACAGATATGATAAATATATTTTCTGGTAACATTCAATGCATTAACATTTGGCGACAAGGATGGATGATTCACCGTTACATCAATTTCTTTGCTGATCCTGCTCTATATTTTGACAGAAGGGAAATGTTACTAGGTTTATGATGTTGGAATCTGCCAAAATGTACTCAATTGGTTTGGATGTGCTGTATGCCATCGATTGTTGACCCCATAATTAAAGCTTCTCCTGGCAATATAAAAACTGCAGCATAGCCAAATCACTGACTGAATACAGTCTTTTCCAGCTGTTACTTTTTCTGCAGTATATTATTTTTGTGCCTGCAATATTTAGCCACATCAAAAATGGAAACAGAATAACAGCTGAAAAAAGACTTGCAAATTGTCCTCCAGGCATTGTTATCATGTCAGAAGCAATTTTCGAAGTGAGAGCGAATGATATATTCAGGCCGAGTAAAAAAGGTGAGATAACTTCCTGGTTTACAGACTAGTCAATAAAGGACATCTCATTTCAAGGTGGCATTTACTCCCACTGCACTCCCCCATTTATTCGGTAACAGGAATATGTATTCTACTTCTGATACTGAGGTATTTGTAGCTAATCTGCCAATGTCAATACATTTTTTGATAAATATTACTTTTAAATGAGAAAAATACAGTAAAGCAAATTGTTACATGTTAAATAGGTCAATGCTCACCGGTGTTTTGGGAATAGAGTATCGGACCTCACCAGTGAAATAAACACACACTGTACATCACAACCACAAATAAATGTTTGGTACAACTTTTAAAACCTCTCAAAAAGATAACAACATTATATGAAACTATCTAACGGTATCAAGGCTCATTTTCTGAAGTTTATGTCACATTAAGAAGCATCCCTTTGGCCTTGGATCATTCATAACTCTTAGAAACATTCCACAAATACAATGGTGCAGTTAGACAAAATGCCTTGGTCGGTTTACTTGTAGTTGTTTTACTTACTGAGCTCAGCGATACTTCCCACACGTGTAACCAACAACGACTGCTCGATGGTGCGGAGCTCAGACTGACTGTACATCTGTACACCTCCCGACTTCTGGTGCTCCCTGTGCAGGTTCAGACTCTCGGGCAGACTCAAAATTCCTACAGTAGAAACGAGATTGAAAAAGATTGAAATTTGTGTTCATTTGCGGCTACAATATTGCATTACAAGTATTGTTTTATGATAACTTTCATTATCATATTTAATTCTAAAAGTATGCTGTGAATAAAAGGTTGAGTGGTTTTACTGTAGACCACAATCTATTTCCTGCAAATACTCTACCTTATTAATATACAAACACACAGTCAATTCACTTTACAGTATATTCTGTGAAGCGCTTTGAGACAACGATGTGATAAGGCGCTATATGAAATGCAAGGGATATTATTATTATTATTCAATGGTGAAATTTGGAGTCAGATCTCACATGTCTTGCACTTGCTTTGGGCAAAAGGCAATCATAGGGAAACTGGCCCAAAATATAGTACAAGCAAAATGTAATTCTACTTACCCCACAACAAATTATAGCATAAAGAGCATCAGTGTTTTTCATGACCCAAATCATAGTATTGGGTATCTTGGCTATATATCGTAACCCAGGACTTTTACACTATATTACGGGTGGAATTTTATGCAATATTGGACCCAGGTATTGCCAAGAGCATTGTGTTTATTAATAATAACAATAATATATTTATTTGAATCATTGTTTGATAATCCATTCCTCTGTAAAGTATCAACAGTTCATCAAGTAAACATATTCCGTTAGAATTTTCTTTTGAAATAACATTTTACACAAGTGAGTCCGCTATTCAAAATGTTTTTTTTCGCTTTCAATCTGGGGAAAAAAATACCCACACCATCTGTGATTCATCCCATTAATCCATTTACGTCTGGCACATCTCTGGATCTCTGCTTTTCTAATACAAAACACGGTGGGGATCAATTTAAATTCAAAGACGGATATTTATTCACAAGGTCATAGTTCCAGGTTGTGCTGCCAAAGACCATAGGTGAAGCAATACTTTGAGCTACAGTTGTTTTGACATTGACACACCCCACAGAACAAAATTCAGGCTTGCCTCTTTAAAGAGCCACAGAAACTTCACTAGACAATAAACCAAGTCAAACCGCAATTTGACTTTAATTGCCAGAATCTCATAAAGCTGAAGTTCTTCTGTCCTGCTGTGACTTATCCAGTTATTGCTTTTAGACAATTTTTGGCATTACATCAGTCAGATAAATGGAACCCTGCTGTTTGTTCTACCAGTGTATATGCACTAAAAAAAACATACTGATTCTCATTGTGCTGGAAAGATAAAGTTAAGAGAAAAAAATACAATAAAGCTATCACTTTAAACAAATCGTGATAAAAAAGATAAGATTTAAGGTGTTCCTGAAACACATGAATTTATAATATGAAGCAGTTTCAAATGGGAGGAGCCTGCAATCTATTATGAAAGCTGCTTTTGAGTTTTATTTCAAAATAATGCTATTGCTCATCTGCATCGGTGAGACCTGGGCCTGAACTGAATTGATTTACCATGACTTGAAATTTAGATAAAGCAAACAGATGTCCTACATAGTCTGGTTCAATGAGCAATCCCTTATATTCTGCGCACACTGAAAGGGCAAAATACTAAAAGTGCTGACATCTTATCCCTCAAGTCCGGTACAGTGTAGGAGCTTTCTCCTGTATAATGGTGGCTATATCTTTGCAGTGTTAGCACTGATTTCTAATTGGCACCAGGATGCAATACATTATCGATAAGAATTATGGTCCATATGACTGCTCCCTTTTCATACTGGTGATGCACACCTTTTCTCAAATGTATTAACGTCTTCCTCTAGCTGTGTGTTGCAATTGGTTTCACGTCAGCATTACATTACTAGGAAAACTGTACATTGAATTGTTGCTTCCTTCCCATGTTAGAACTCGCTTACTCATTTCAACGTGGTGTCTCACCAGAAAGCCTTTAATAATAATCCTTGCATTTGATATAGTGCTTTTCACGTCGGGAGGACGTCCCAAAGCGCTTCACAGAACACACTGTAAAGTGAATTGACTGTATATTTGTGGGCAAACGCAGCAGCCAATTGCGCACAGCAATGTCCCACAAACAGTCGTGGATTGAAAATGACCAATTTATTATTGTTTTTGGTTTTGGAGGGATTATTATTAGGCTCTGTGTGGAGTAAGGAAACTTGCCCAAGGTTTCGCCCTCTGCCTGGAATTGAACTCAGGTCTCTCACTTGCAAAGCGAGTGCTCTAACCATTGAGCTACAGGACTCCACATGCATAGGCTCAGGTTGATGTAAAATCAATATTTGCAAACTGGTTAATGACCTAATACCAGTTCTCTCTCATGACATTGAGAATATCTGGGCAGGAATCACACTGCATGCAGATCAGATAAATTGCACAAGTCTGCACATACTCATCACTTTAATCATCAGTTTAAATCACTAGGATCTCCAGAATAAGCAAAGCCACTGCACACTGACACAGGAAATGAGTGAGTATTTTCTATTAGCACAAATTCTGCCTCACCCACTATCTTCATGGAAAACACCTGGTTGTATCTCAAAAAGCACACAAGCAGGATTTATGTGAATCACTTTCAAAATGACGTTGATCGTAAATGACACGATAATCTGTCTCAACAAGGTTTGTCAAACCACACTATGTGTTTATAAACAAAGGAGGCAGGGTTATCAAGCAATGTTTTAAGAAAACATATCCCCTTTTAACATTGGTGCCTGGGTTGAAGTTTAGATTGAAAAATGACAGTATTCAGGTATTGGACTATGATGCCATTACCATAGTTCTAGGTTTTGATGTTTTGTTGATTCACAAACTTAACATTAATGAGAGGCAGGATTCAAAGCATTTTCTTACTGGGGCAAGAACATTTGAGTTATTCACATTTGCACTGATCTTTTAACAAATGCACAAAGTCATGGTTGAAAGCTGCAGCAAAGCCAATCATCTGACGTCACTCCTAGAAGGTGTGGAGCGACACAGCAGGAAGGTGTGGTGAACTGTAGGCTGCACATTCATTTGTTCTCTATCTGGGTTATTTGAAACTATACAGTGAGACTCAGACATTGTGATAGCAACTCCTTATAGGGCTTACTAAAATTGTTGCTTTCAGTTGAAAAAGGCTTTGGAAATAGACTACTTTCCTCAAGACAGTATCAGGAGAATAGAGATCAATGAATATGTGGTAATGGTTACAAAGAAAATCTGACCAATTGAGGCCGAAATGACATCATAAATCATGAAATATAAACATGAGTAATTTGTAATAGCAAACAGCTATCTGAATCTCAACAATTTTTTAAAATGAATTCAGTGCATATCTTTTAAACAATGCCCACCAGGGAAAACATTGGCATATCTTACTGAGCTTGGGAGAGGCTTAGGGAGGTATTCAAGTGTGCAGCAGTGATTAGCTGCAATGATTATTGAAAACTTCCACACTGAAATATTCAAAACTGTGATATAAACACTGCAATTATGGATAGAAGTTCATTCCTGAAATGTAAAACTGTCTGGTGTTTCTGTAAAGGAATCAGGAATGGGAATGCAACTACAAATAGGTATCAGCCTGACTCATTTGGTAGCAATTTTGTCTCTGTGTCAGAGTGTTGTGATTTCAAGCCTAACTGTTTGTTGTGAGTTCAAGCCCTACTTGGGGAGTTGGATCTCATATAGTCCAAGGTGACACGTCAATGCAGTATTGGGGTGTGATGAGTTGTTCAGATGGATATCAAAGATCCTATGGCACTATTCAAAAAGAGAAGGCAGTTTCTCCCAGTGACCAGGCCAACAATCTCCCAAATAAAAATGGGTGATTAATTTCACGGCTTTTTGCAAGTCATTGCTGCGTGCATATCATCTGCTGCGTTCACCCACAAAACACACAGTCACTACACTTTATAGTATATCCTGTGAAGCGCTTTGAGACATCCTCTTGACGTGAAAGGCTCTATCCCAAATGCAACAATTATTATTATCATTTATTGTTATAAAATCCCATGAGGTAAGGCACTGTACGAAATGCAACAACAGCAACAAATTGTATTTATACCATATACTTCACACGGGTAACATCTCAAAGTGCTTCTGCAAGGATTTCTATTACATTTATTATAAATACATGGTCACTACGCTTCACAGTAAAACCTTATGAAGCACTTTAATGCGTCTTGATAATGCGACAAGTTGTTATATTATGTGCAAGGATTTATTAATATTAAAGTAGTTACTTGGCCATCGAGGGCAGCACAAAGAATTTACCAGCTTTTTCCACTCTCCTATAAATAAACAGTTGGGCCTCCACTGTCTATCTACACTCACCATTGGAGTTGAACACAAAATGAACAACACTGAACATATAAAAGTACTTTAGCGGTTGATGGATATGGAACTTATTTAGCCTGCATTTCAACTGAAATGCTTCCTTCAGTCTGCTGCCAGTGGGTGTAAACCACAAGCAAATTTTGTTTCACTTGGCACAGATCCAAACTTAGACAACTAAATCTTTGAGCTTGCTGCCTGGAGTTACTTAATGACAGATGAAACTCTGTGCTACAGCTTAAGGCTTGTCTTCATCCCAAACACTAGCTCATCTACCGCATGGATAATGTTAAGGGCTATTCCTGTTTTTCAAAGCTTTCATGTGCTGAATTCTGCCCAGTGTGCTTCAATAATAAAAAATAATAAAATACACGGAGTATCAGAAGTTCCAAATTTCCATCGTAGTGAGCCTCAAAGAAAAATCCTTAGTGTATTAAAGGCAGAATCAATTTAGGGGCTTATTCTGTTGCATTCTCTAAATACTCTATTTATAACCACACTTTTAACATACAATTCATTTGATGGAAATTTCAGTTTGAAGCCAAATTGCCTAAAAATACAATTTAAAAGAAAATCTGTTGTTCATTTATAATGGACAGAAGCGATTTTGCTGTGCTTGTGCTGTATCATAACGATTACCCAGGGAGGTTAGAAGAAAAAAAGATTCCGATTGCATCAAATCCAAAAATATATTGATTCATTGACATTCCACTTGCCCGTCACTTTACACAAGTATGA